TAACTGCAAATTTTCGTAGCTAATAGCTGTATCAACTACAGTTTTATGAAATGTAGCTCATAGCTGTAGGGCCTATAAATTTTTGTTTAGCTATAATGATAATTTTCACTACAATTTCGCTACAGGCTTCAGGAAATCCGTGCAAAATCTGTGCCATAGAATGCGGTCGTTAACTGGGCCGCCGACAATTCGAGCAAATGGTCACGCACTGATCACCCCTTACTAGTAGGCTTAACTCAGGGGTTGCAACCGAAATGTTAAGAAGAGCCATTTTGTCCTTCCAACAAAAATGAAACCACTTTGGGAGGCTCAACATTTTATGTCCGTTTTACCATCTTGGCTGTAAATCAGTCTCAGAGTGTGCTAATCTAGTTCAGGCTAAAAATAATATAAAAGAAAACGCAGACTTACTTTGCTCCGCTTTTCTCGCACCTATCAGGAAACTTTTCTGCAAGTTTCTTGTAAAATGTCTCTCAGCGTTAGACTTTTACAACGCTGAAGTCAGTTTCTCATTCACCGGCCTCTCATTCGAATTGTCCCATTCCACCTTAAATGGTGCCTGAAGTGCCAGATTGTACTGCTGCACCATTTAAGGTGGATCGGGAGAATTAGAACAAAAAGCAAGAGAATGAGAAGCGTCTTCAGCTTCGCGAGTTGCTGCAGATTAAACGTATTATAAAAACCAGCTAGAGTGATTATAAATGAAAATAAGTCCATTCATCTCTAAATTATGGTCGTGTTAAATGTCTCTCTTTGCCTTTTCGTTGTCTGCAGTGCTGTGTGTCCAGCAGTCTGCGCGTCAGTCTTCAGCGTTAAAGGTTGGTGAATTAGCAGTTATGCATTAACTCCAGCGTTTAAGACCATTTATTGTGAAAACTGTGTTAGAACTGTGTGTTACAATGATTTTATAGTAAAGGAGATTATTTTATTTTCCCTAAAAATCTAGTTCTGCTGTGGAGCCGCAACAGCTCTGCAGCAGTGGAGAGATTATTCAGGTCTGATTCTCACTCAAACAGAGCCAGAGGCTCTGATAAGAATTTTAAGGCTAAAGTGCTGCTGAAGTTTAAATGACTCTGAATGTCATGTGTGTAAATATCTTGCTGAAATGTTTAAATTGAAGCAGTTTTATTTCAACAGTTATGCTTTGCACAAAGTTGTTTGGTTTGTATTTGGTTATTTTTGTTGATTTTTGTTAGGAAACCCTGGAATCATTGACTTTGTCGTTACTTAGTCTATGTTGATATTAAGACTTTGGTTGTGTAAGTTTGATTGTTGTTTACACTTTTTGGTGATCTTTTTGTATATTTGCAGCTTTTCAATTGTATGTTTCTTTCTGGTACATGATTAAATGCAGTGTCTTGTTCACATTGTCAATTGGGCTTCTTTGGTGTGTCAGGTGGAGATTCACAAACATTCTGACGATCACGCTTTGAAAGTAGCTAAAAAGTAGTGCACTACTTTTCAAAAAGTAGCTAAAAAGTAGCCAATACTTTTTTTTCTGGAAAAGTAGCTAAATTGTAACTAGCTACAAATTTTGGGAAAGTAGCTACAAAGTAGCTAACTACTAATTTTCCAGTAGCTATCCTAACCCTGCATATTAATAAATAACAGTACAAACTCAATTCCAACAAAAGTTAGGACAGTATGGGTAAAAGAGTAATTTGTAAATCCACTTTGACCTTCATTTAAACAAAAACAGTACAAGGACAAGATATGTAATGTAATCTTGTCAACTTCATTGTTTTTGTAAACATACACTCGTTCAGAAGTAGATGTCTGCAACACGTTTCAGAAAAAAAAAAGTTGGGACAGGGCAGATTAAGATGAGGAATTTTTTTAAATGTTCAAAAAAAAAAAAATCTTAAGCAGCTGATGCAGCCATGCTTGGGCATAAACACAGTGTCCATGAATGGCTGAGCACTTCATCAGCGAAGATGGGTCAATACTCACCACAAAAACTGCATCAACAAAAAGCCTACAGTTTAAGAAGTACTTTCCTCAGTAAATGATGGCAAGGATTTTAGGTATTTTACTCTCTTCAGTTATAATAATACTACATAATACATACATAATATCATCAAAACATTCAGAGAATCCAGAGATATCTCTGGCAGCAAAGGGAAGGTTGAAAACCAAAACTGACTGCTTGTGATCCCTCAGATGGCACTGCATTAAATCTGGCTTCTGTGATGAATGTCAGCACATAAGCTCAAGAATGCTTTGACAAACCATTGTCAGTAAACAGTAACCACTGCTGTAATATTAAGACTGTACTATGCACAGCAGAGGCCAGAAATGCTGCCAACTTATCTGGGTTCATCTGAAATGGACTAATGCTGTGGAAATGTCTGACAAGTTAACCTTTTAAATTATTTATAGTAATAATGGACACTGTGTTCTCTGGGCCATCCAGATTGTTATGAGTGTAAAGTTCAAAAGCCAGGATCTGTCATGGTATGGGGGTACTGCACATCTAGATTATGTCTTTTAGGGACATCTATGCTTACTTCAACATGACACCAAGCCACATTCCGGACATACCAACAGCATGGCTGCGCAGTCCATAAGCAAACGTACCAGACTTGCTCTCCTGCAGTCCAGACCTGTCTCTCACTAAAAATGGGTGCAAAACACAACAATAAAGGACCTGGAGTGTTGCACAGCTGAAGAACTGTATAAACAGAATAATGGCAAAAAAATCTGCTTTTTTCCGTGATGTAACACTGGTAAATATGTTACTGTCCCAATATTTTGAAACTTGTTGTAGGCATCAAATTTGGAATTAGCAGGCATTTACAAGAAACTATCAAGTTCATAAAATAAAACATCAAATATTATGTGTATGTACTATTTTTAATTTAATGAAGGTTAAACAGGATTTATTAAATACTGCTTTCTGTTTTTATTAGCATGGCACATATTGTCCCAACTGCTTTTGGAATTGGGTTTGTATATCTTATATGTTGTATATTTTAGCATCCCGCTACTGGCTGGCACTGGTGCTGAGAGACTCTGGAGGTGTGGCTAGGCAGATGGCCACCCCCAAAGGCTCATGGTAGTCCTCCCAAAAAGAGACTTGTGTTGTTTGGTGTTGTAACTTGTTATATATAGTTATATTTAAGTGTTTTATGTGTTGTTATGTGTTGGGCAGTGCGCTAATGTGTGGTTTTGTTTGTGAGGGGGGCCACCGTGAGTTCGGTATTCTGCATGTGCCACTTTCTGCCATGGTGTTCAATAAAGAGAACTTATGACAGCAGATCATGGCTACCTTTGTGTTTCTACTTCTGTTAACACTACAATATTTTAAATAATACACAGTTTAAAAATATTATTAATTATTATCAGATCACAGTCTTAGTCCAACTTTGCATTACAACTTTTGAAAGCAAATGACGGTGCGGTAATTTCCTGTTTCTTCTTTTCTAGGGCTTTGGAACCAATGAACATCAACAAACAAATAATATTCAGTTAATCCATCATGGAAATATCAATAGGATCTTCAACTGGCAGTGAACTGATTTTATGTAAACAGTACAAATAAACGTAGAGAAAGGACTGTTTTACTCTGTTTGAAGGTATTTTTAATGTTCAGTAATGATAAAAAGTTCAGTTTCCAATTACATCTGATGGAGGCACTGCACTTTTGCATTTGTCTGATCTCCAGAATAGTTTCCGAGTCCACATTCCCCTCAGATGGAGACAAGTCTGAGTCAAAATTATGTTGAGACTGAAACAAAACCAAGACGGCTAATATAGGAGAAATGGCCAAATAACAGTTTCTACAAAACTGTTTTCCAGAAATCAACTTACTATGAGCAAAATATATATTCACAGACCTGGGCCCAAACATTTTGAAGGGCAGGCTCAAGGGAAAAAGGGCAACCTGAACCTGAATGAACATCTCAAAGTAACCGAAAGTACGGCCTCTTGTGTCTTATTGAATTTTCTGCATGGAGAAATGAACCCCGATCTCCAGCAACAGAGCTGTGGTTTTATTCACTACACTAAGTACTAGTAAAGAATGAGTTATGCCTCTGTTTAAGCAGGCGGTCTCTTCAACACATCCACATCACCTCACACAAATCGCTGATTTTACAGTAACAAAAACTTAGGATTTATTAGTGCGCCTTACTGCCAACACATTATTGTTTGAAATAAACACAACCTGTGTCTTAACAGCAGGGTTTCCGCTGCTGTGGTGATGTGTGTGTCTGTGATAGGTCAGAGTTACTGAGGCGAAATCTCCACAGGAAGCATTACTGCACTAGAGAGCGCGACCAATAATGATGAAACTCTTTGAAGCCAAGCTCACTTAAAAGGGCAGAGGTGCAGTCTAAGGGTAAAAAGGCAATGGTCTCCTAAAACTAGGTGTAAATTAGAGGTAGCGTTCCAAAGGCATGTTGTTAGGACACGTCTTTAACTAATTTCGTAGTGGTTAGATAGAGGTACAGGCCTCAAACGTGTGCTGAAGGGACATTTACCAACAGAATAACACTATTCATTCCTAACCACCTCCAAGTTACCTGGATATTGATTATAGAATTGCTTCTGATTTTTAAGGTTGTGTGATCATCATGACTATCAGCATATATCTATCGGAAAAGACTTAATAAACCTTACTTGCACTTGCGTAAGTAAGGTCTTCCGAACAGTTACACAAAAAAAATTCAGTGAATCATCTCAGTGTCTCTTAAGTGTTATTCTCTCTCTTTCTCTTTCTCTCTCCAACAATCACACATAAACACACACCCACACACACACATACAGAAAGCTTGCTGAACTTAAATTTATTTTAGAAATTAAAAGGACAATTTCCATGATTATTATAGAAATGTATTCATTTTATTAGTCTTATTTAGTAATTATTATTTGGTCCCATCATGTAAAACCACAACAACAACAAAACAACAATAAGAGTAATATACATTAAAATACTGCAGTTATTCCTCAGTCTGCATCATTACAGTAGCATGGAAAGCGGGAGAGAGTCTTTAGAAAGTTCATTTTTGTTGGTAATAAATGACCTTTGAGTTCACATCTTCAGTCTTCTGCTGTTTTTCATTGCTGAAATTCTCTGCTGCAAAGTATGAAGCTTCATCACATGCAGCCTGCAGAAAGAGACTGAATCATTACACTGTATTTCACAGTTTCACTGCATAATCAGACATTCTGTAGCCTCATAGTCGAGTTTATCAGAAAAGATTTAAAGTGAATTAATTACCTGATATGCATGAACTGTGTGACGTTCAGCAGCATCTTCAACAAATAACAAGTAAATCATTCAAACATGCAGGATTACACTATTATAGTTCACTGCATTCATACACTAACATTAGATATTAATAATAATATCAGTTTCAGAAATGAAACCTACCTTTATGATGACTGCTGTGTTTTCTGCACACAAATAAAGCCACACTCAGAGAGATGATGTTTGACACCACTAACATGACAATAGTTGGGTCCAAAGCACCTTTTTCTATAATAAGCAAGAAAGATCAACTTTATAACTTTATCAAAATGTAAGACTCTGATATAAAGAAAAAAAAATATGTACAGTTCTGAGTATAAAACTGTACTGTTTCAGATTTATATAATGATATAAATGGATCTAGAATTCTAAGACAAATAGATTTAAATGGCCGTCATAGAGAACCTGTTTTTCTGTTACACAACAGAAGAGGAAAAATCTTTTAGGCTCTCAACACTGCATAAATCCATATCCTGTGTCATTATAAAAAAAGAATGACAAAGAGAATTAAATTTCAAAATTTTACTGTGACAGACTTTCAGACAAAAAATTACATTGTCAGAAAAAGGGTACAGCACATGCACAAACCAGTTAAATGTACTCGCAATGGTACAACAATGGTCTTAACGTCTAAACGTACAAAGCAACATTATATTCACTTTCCCTAGAGCAAGAGTCGGCAACCCAAATGTTAAGAAGAGCCATTTTGTCCCTTCAACAAAAATCAAACCACCTTCGGAGCTGCAACATTGTCCATTTTACGATCTTGGCTGTAAATATGTCTCAGTATATTTAGCATAGGCTAAATAATATCAACGAAAACACTGACTTACTTTGCTTTGCTTTAAGCTTTAGCTCAGCTATAGCTGCTTTTCTCACATCTCCAGCAGGAAACTTTTACGCAAAAGTAAAATGTCTCTTAATGTTAGACTTTTTATGAGTCCAAAGTCAGCTTGTCATTCACCAGCTTCAGTTTTCCTGTTCCACCTGAGTATCTAAGTCTGAGGCGCCAGAATATAACTGCTGCACCCTTTAAGGGGGAACGGGAAAATTCGAACAAGAAGCTGGAATGATTACAAGTGTAAATAAGTTTGTTTGTCATAAATCTTTTTCTTTGCAGTTTTGTTAGCTACTAGCTAGGCAAGACTTGTCTGCGTTGCTATAGTGTCTAGCAGTCTGCGCACCAGGGTTAAAGGTTAGTGAATTAGCAGTTACAGGCTACTGTAATTCCAGTGTTTAAGACGATTTATTGCTGAAACTGTGTTAGAACAGAGCTTTATTTTACTGCAAAGCAGGATTATTTTATTTTTACCTAAAAATCTAATTCTGCTGTGGAGCCGCAACATGACAGTTAAAGAGCTGCATGTGGCTCAGGTGCCACATGTTGCTGATCCCTGTCCTAGAGAAATGTTCATATTTTTACCTTTTCATAATTTAGATTTTTAAATAGAAAAGTACAATACAGTGCATGGAATTAAGATGGGGATGTGTGTTTCCTAACCAAAGGTTCTTAAGACGTACCCTTTAGGTGTGACACTGCAGTGACCGCTTTTCTGAGAGCATAGGTTGAGCTTTAAAGGAACTTAAAGTATATGATCTTACCTATGAAGTCCAGTTTAGTTCCGTTCCCGAAGATGACCTCTCCACACGTGAGCACAGCACAGTAGTAAGTTCCAGCATCAGAGAGGCTGAGGTTTCTCTTGCGGAGTTTGTAGACACAGCTCTGTGTAGGAGAATCAGTCTCAGAGCTTTTCTTACACTCATCACTCCTGTTTCCATGAGTGTAAATGATTCCTGGATGAGATTCTCCTGATCCATGTCTGAACCAGTACACACTGTGTTCTCCTGCAGACGTATCTGTGAGTATTGAACACTGCAAAGTTGTATCTCCTCCCAGTTCAACAGGATCTGATACAGGAGGCTGGAGAACAGCAGAGAGACTTGAAGATGAACCTAAAGAGAGAAAAATGTTACTGATTATTGAATAAAATGTAAAGATCAGAGATCAGATTTATGATGTAGAAAGATCTTGGTTTCCAAATTGATTGTATTTAATAAAAGCAGACTGTAGTAGACTAACACCTACCTTTGAGGACTAAAACTGTGCAGTCCATTAAGCTAATATCTGTGTAATATGCAACTGCACAGTAATATGTAGCTGAATCAGATGGTTCTGCATTTGAGATACTCAGATTAAAACTGCTTTTTTCTCTTACTGCATTAAAGCGGCCGCTCTTGTAAAAATCATTATGATATGTAACTGGTGCAGAACGAAACACAGAAGCAATGAGAAGAGGCTTTTCTCCTGGAGTCTGTTTGAACCATGCAGTCGCTGATGCATCAGCAGATGAAAAAAAGCAAGTCAGTTTAATATTTCCCCCTTCAAGAATATACTTCAGTCCATTCAGACACAGAATGTCAATCTTCGAAGTGCCACCTAAAAGGCAAAACAACGAAGAACTCTTTTATGTAGATTTTACAGCACTTCACTTGGATTCCAAGTAAGATAGACAAAATGAACTTCATTAATACTGAAAACTAAAGAAAAAGCTGAAACAGTACCTAATGCTGTTGAGAGGAAAACAAGTGCACAAAATCGTATCATTGTCGACCTCTTCAAGTAGCGTATCTCCTGAAAAAAATGTAGAAATTCTGGTAATAATAATAATGATATTAATAATATATACAATCCTATGTATCCAGAATTCAGTTAATTGTGTGAAGTAACTTACAGATTTTGAAGGACAAAGTGACCTTTCACAACGTAGCTAAAATGTGTGCAAAACTTGTACAAGAGCAGTTTTATATCTCTGTGCTTAAAGCTGATTGGTTCCCATAACAGGATGTAGACTCGGGCCCTGACCACTCACGCTGGTGTTTCATAAAAACATATATTAATATGCAAATCACTACTGCTGTGGATCTGGTATGGCCAAAGCACATCAAATTAACTACAACTGAATTTCAAGAATTTCTCATTTTGCTTGTCTGGTCATCATAAACATCACACTTGCTTGTGTACATGCTTGAGGATTAATTACAGGCTAACTTTCTAAACCTGAATTAATAACAGTCTGAGTATCTAAACCTGGATTAATCAAAGCCTGACTATCTAAACCTGGATTAATAACAGCCTGACTATCTGAACCTTTATTAATCACTGTTTGAATATGTAAACCTGGATTAATCATAGTTTGAATATGTAAACCTGGATTAGTAACAGTCTGAGAATCTAAACCCAGATTAATCACAGTCTGAGTATCTAAACCTGGATTAATCACAGCCTGACTTATTAAACACAGTCAAAGTATCAAAACCTAGATTTATCACAGTCTGAGTATCTAAACTGGGATTAATCACAGCATGAGTATCTAAACATAGATTAATAACAATCTAAATATCTAAACCTGGATTAATCACAGTCTGAGTATTAATTAATCAGGTTTAAATTAATCAGGTTTAAATACTTAAACCTGGTGTAATCACAGTCCAAATATCTAAACCTCTATTAATCACAGTCTGACTATCTAAAACTCTATTAATCACAGCCAAATGATTATAAACCTGGATTAATCACAGCCTGAATATATAAACCTGGATTATTTGCAGTCTTAGTATGTAACCCTGGATTAAACACAGTCTGAGTAATTAAACCTGGATTAATCACAGTCTGAGTAACTAAACCTGGATTAATCGCAGTCTGAGTATCTTAATCTTTGTTAATCACAGCGTGGCATGCGCCCGCCCCCCGGGCCCCGACGATGACGGCCGCGAGAGCCGGCGGGAAGGCGGGGCCCGAACACCCAGCGGCGACGAACCTTGGCGAGGACGGCAGGGAAAGAGCCGCGAGTGGGGAGGGGCGGAGCGCAAAGCCCGAGCTCCGCCGACGGAGGCGGGTCACGCTAGTGACGGCGGGAGGAGGAGGACGAGGACGATGGTGCCGGCCACGAGAGGCACCAAGGCAAAGAGCGAGTCCCGAGCTCCGCCGCCCGGGCCCTTCCCCCTGTGCCGCAGCGAGGCCGCCTTAGGATACCTTACGTTCGACCCGGGCGGCCGAGCTGCAAGCTGGGGGCGGTGACGGGGAGGCTCGAGCGCCATTTTAAAGAGCTGAGAGGGAACAGAGAGAGAGAGAGGAGGCCGAGCAGCAGCAGTGACTGAAGAGCTGAAAAGCTTGAATAAGACTGAAAAGTCTAGCTGACTGAAGCCACTGAAAAGTGGCCAGCCTAGTTTGGGTTGTTTGGAGTTTGTTTATTTTGTGTGTTAATAAATATGGCGGCTGCAACACTGAACCCTGCCTCCAGCGTCTTCATTGAGCCCGGAGTAGCACATGCCGTGCCACACACAGTTTGACTATCTAAACCTGGATTAATCACAGGCTGACTATCTAAACCTGGATTAACAGAGAGTTGTTAAATCCTTTTTTAAAATGACTTAACTGTGTGTTTGTTTGGTTTTGTAAAGCTAAAACTTAGTCAGAAAGCCTGTCTAAGTTAAACCTGCTTCATTAGACAGACCCCAGATCCACTACGTATTTTTTCCAATAACCAGTCAAAACAAATGGCATAACATTAACACCACAAATACTACTTACAACTTAAATATCTTTAAGCGTTTTCTCCACATCTTTTTCTTTTCTGTTTTTCAGTTCCAGATGCATACATTCTTTTTTGAGACATGATTAATCAGTTTTTTTTCCCTCACTCAAGCATCATGGACAACATGATGTTACAATAATAACCCAGGAGTGGTAAGGGGGCCCCATGGCAGCTACAGGGCCCTAAACAGCCACTTATGTAGCTAATTTGGTAGAGCTGGCCCTGTACAGAACCAGAAGGAAGATTTCAATGTCACAGACTGATACAAGGGCCAGGGAACATACCCAAGATTTATGGATAGCATTTTTAGAGAACAATTTTGTGCTACTTTTCACTCTTTTCTCAGCAGGTCCAGAGTATCTAACCTTGTTTGTTTCTATTGTAAAACTCAATATTGAAAAATCATTCTATACTTTTAACATCATAAGCATATCCTTAAATAGCCTATGGTTAATTCCATACCATACCATAATTACTATGGTTATTTTGATGCACATTAACACATACATTATGAATAACCAACTAAATATGAGCAGACATCACAGGATATAAATATGAAGTGAAACACTTTGTGAATATCCTGTGATGTTGTTCTGATTATATCATCTGCTTTTACTTTATGGCTGAGGGTTCAAGGCTAATTTTCACATAAAAGTCCAAAATATAATAACCTTATTCTTCAAACTTTCCTCACACTTAGCAATTCAACTTGCTTGTGTGTATGTATCAAGGCTTGTCCCATCAACAGATATGTGCTTTGTCTGTTAAGACTTTGTCATTTGGATCATGCTTTTCAAAGTAAAACATAACATTGTATGCAGTCTGAACATGCTATGGCATTTTACTGCTGTGACCAAAAACAATGCTGTAGCGCTTTTCTTCTTCTTTCTTCCTGTGAACTATATCCCATCTTTGAGTGTATATTTAGCAGTAACCACAGTCTAGGTGATACGCACACTGCAGTAGAGGGTAGACTGCTGAAACGTCCAACCACATCAAAAGATGATGCTTAAACAGAATTTTGACAGCTTCTTAGGAAAAACTTGCCTTTCTCACCCTCGACACAACTTTTTTATTCTTTTATAAGGTACAAAATTATGCACAATAATTACATAAAAAGACTTAAGATTAATTAATTACATTATTGAATAAAAAATATGGATAATAAATGAAAAATAAACCATTTAGAGGTTAAAGATGTGAATAGTTACTGTGACCAACTGATCTTTAGCTGAAACCTTTTCAAGGCAGTTATATTAAAAATATTTAGTTTATTACTGTTTCTAGTTTACAACGTAAGCAGTGATAAGTTTGTCCCCAATTGGTGGCTGCAGAAGAGAATTCTACAAAGAATTGCTCACATGGAGAAGTAATAGTTTCATCAAAAAGGACTCAATTTTTAACTGGTGGGGAAACCTCCAGAGTTGTTGGCACAGTGAAAATCTGATTGGCCCCTTAAATGCCCCTCTCCTATCACTCACCTCAGAACACATCAGTGATTGTACAATCTTTGCCTTTAGGCCCACCTCACATTGATGGATATGCCATACATGCAAATTTTTCATGTTTAATTTTTTGTCTGCTGTCAACAATGAGATTTCAGAAGAAGAATCCCTGCACCCAGCAGGAGATCTTTTATATAGATATAGTATTTTAGTATTGTGGTGGCAGCCATGGGACCCACTGCCTCACATGAGCATAGAAGCTCTACTCAAAGAAACTCATGGGAGGTGGGTGCTCGCAGTAAAAGAGGACTGTTATTGTTGTTGTGCTGTTGTGTGTTTAGGTTGAGATGTATTATGTGTTTATTGTGGTATTTTGTGCTGCGCTTAGGGTTAGTTAGAGTGGGTTCCTGTTAGTATCCATAAGAGAAAGTAGGGCTAGGAGAGACCTGCCACATGTCTCAGTTGCTTTTGAAGTGGCCTTTCTGCCTTGTTCATTTAAAAGAGCATTTTCTGAGCAGAAATCATGGCCTCACTACACTTGTCTTCTGATTGATTCCACAGTATTGTAGTATTTTATTTTCATGTGATAAACTTGTAAAGGTTTGAAAGGTTACAGGACTGCGACCATTGGGTGGATAACAAAACAGTAATTTAGCAAAAGTGATTGGAGGTCTGTACCTTAACAATACTGCTAAATGGAACCTTTGTGGGTGAAGTCAAAAAAAGTTTTGGGAGCAGTAGAGTTGGTTTCATTTTCACATATTTGATTTCTTTCTTCAACAACTTTACAATGAACACATTGATTTCTGTGGGCTGTTGTTATCGCTATGAGATTCATTGGTAAGTAAGTGCTTAATTTATTGAGATTCACCATTATTTCATTGGTAAGATTTAGTTGGAAACAAAAAGGTTAAAATTTTCTAAAAGACAGTTGTCCAAGATTGTTGTGTAACTAGACAAGCAAGCTGAATCCATTGGTTAGGCCTTTAGGAGCTGGACTGAAGGCCTTACATGTTACATAAACAGCAAACATTATAAGTGAATGGTAGAGGAATCAACCAGTTATCTTTTGATGTACAATAGGTGGGCCAGTTTCATGAGACATGTAACTCTAGGAGTTCTGGAACTCCTTGATGCATCAATGACTTTGAATATGAGAGGTAGTCTAAACAGGTTTCAGTCAGTTAGAAATGGAAAACAGCAGCAGCTTATCAAAGAGATTTAACAGAGTTTTGACCTTTGTGACCTGAACTGAAGGCTTAGCCCTAACACCCTTTTGTGCACAATGTCCTTTAACTGAGAAGAAAATAAAATTGCTAGAAGCTTTTCAGAAAAGAACACTAAGGTAGAAAGCTAGAAGTCTAATTTGAGTGAGAAAAGCTGGAAAAGATGAATACTGATATCACTATTTGGTTACTCATTCTGTTTCCTCACAGGAAGATGAACAAGCTATTAAGACAAACAATTCAGTAAACACTGATTTTATGCTTTAATAAAACCGTAAAGCACGAAAGCTTTGCTCATATTTGCAAGTAAGCATGCTATACTTTGCTGCTCCAAAACACGTTGCCAAGGACACCTTGCTTAGTATGTGACTGAGAAGGCTGAGACAGTGCTAGGCTGATTTTTAGGTCCAGAAACAGTTCAATATATTACTCTTACAAACTAACCTGTTGACACTGAAAAGGAAAAAAAGTGTAGAAGATGATGAATCTCCGTCAGTATCCAGTGTAGTGCCAGTTACGGTGAATTCCATTGTTTGTTTGTTTTTTTTTGTTTTTTTTTTTCTGCATAATTAAATGGTTGAGATGTAAACAAAGCCTTTCACAGTGGTCTGATGTGAAATGGTCCGTACAAGAGAAATAACAAGAGCTTAATGTCCCCTTATTGTTCCCTCACAGAAAGATAATTGTTATGAATGCTTTGCTTGATGCATGAGACATTGTTTTATGTTTGTTGTAAGAGAAGGTTTTTGGCCTAAAACGTCATTTTTGAAATCCATTCATAGCATGCAGAGGTGCATAAGGGCTTTATAAGGTAAAACAGTACCCGATGAAAATGTGTTTTTCAGATTTACCATTATGTTTCCCTGATGAACATTAAATATAAAAACCAATGTAGGTTCACTGGTGACATTGGAAAGTCAATAAAATTGCTGTACTCGTATTCTAGACTTTACGACTCCTGGTTCCTATCACCACCACTGTTTAAAAGAGAGTAAGCTTTTCTAGAAGAGAACATTTCACATCAGACCACTCTAAATACCCTTACAGACATCTCAAAGATTGAAATGTATAGAAATTAAGAAATTGTAAGTAAACAATTGACACGAAAATTGACCAATTTCATTCAGCTATTTTTGAATAATAAAACTTCTTTGAAATGTATTATTCTGTGTGACAGCAACAGTGCTGTCGCATAAAAAACAAAGGCAGAGCTCTACATTAATTTTATTTATTATTTTATTTATTATTTAATTTTTTTTTGCATCCCTGTGCTTAACTAGATATCGTATTAGATAACATAAACTGTGATGGATATACAAACTTGTTTGCATTCTTCCAGTATGCAACTGACGGCCTACTGGTTCCGTGCACACACAGTAGCAGGAGTCAAAATAGAGACAGTGAATCAGCCGCATGTGGCCAGGGTCTCAAGTCTGATCAGTCATTTAACCTCTTTCATGCTCTATGTTATGTTCTACTTAACTGGAAAAACACTATTTATTTGGTAGGCCTTCATCAGATAATATTACATTATCGATAAAAGTGTAGATGATTCCCTTAACTTTAGAAAATTCAGTTTTATTGGGGATATTTGATCTGCGAGTAAACTTCAGTGTCTTTCAGCTTCTGTTGTCTTCTAGTTCCTCTGGAGGACGGTGGTTTATTAGTGAAACTCAGTGCTGCATAGTTCAAACCTTCATCACATTCACCCTGAAGAAAGAGACTGTATTTAACACACTTCACTGTAAACTCGCTGAGCAAAATGAGACTTTAGCAAAAAAGATAGATAATTATCATGATCATTATGAACTTAATGCAATATTTAATGTGTATTAAACATTTATATTAACCTTATACTGAAACTGTAAATTACAAATAATGTGTGAGTACAATAAGTATGTCCAAGACATAAGAGCTTGACTGAGTTTAGCTGAAAGTTAGAAGAAACTAAATTAATCACCTGATTTGCTTGGACTGACTGACCGTCGGCAGCTGCTTCTACACATAACAAGTAAATCACATAAACACATCACTGAACTTACATTCTAAACTTACATGACTAAAATACATTCATTAGCAGAAAAACACAAATAGTAATATTAGTTTCAGAGGTAAAACTTACCTTTATGATATCTGTTGTGTAATTTTCTACACAGAAATAAAACCACAGCCATGGTAATGATGATCGATGCTGCTGAACCAATAATGACTGGGACCAAAATGCTGTTCTCTATAATAAGTAAGAAAGCAGATTTTAACAATCAAATTCTTCGTTGAATTAGTGATGCCAAAATAATAACAAAAATACAGAACATAAAAAAATCAAACTGTTTTAGACAATTCAAATCATTCATTACACAATTTTATCTAGAATCCTAAAACAAATGGATGTTAATAGCGACTTGGCAGACCATGTCTAAACAAAACAGAATAGGAGATTTTATTAAGTGATCGATTGATTGACTTATTTATTTATTTATTTATTTATTTATGTCTCACAACTCTGGGCAAATCTACATCATGTGTCTTCTTCATTATAAGGGAAAAAGAAAATATCTTCTCAGATATTACAAGAAAAAATGAGTATCTGGTCGTGCTTCAGGCTATTTTAATCAAATTTAAAATGCCTGCTCTCACCTACAAATTCCAGTTTAGTTCCGTTCCCAAAGATGATCTCTCCACACATGAGCACAGCACAGTAGTAAGTTCCAGCATCAGAGAGGCTGAGGTTTCTCTTGGGGAGTTTGTAGACACAGCTCTGTGTAGGAGAATCAGTCTCAGAGCTTTTCTTACACTCATCACTCCTGTTTCCATGAGTGTAAATGATTCCTGGATGAGATTCTCCTGATCCATGTCTGAACCAGTACACACTGTGTTCTCCTGCAGACGTATCTGTGAGTACTGAACACTGCAAAGTTGTATCTCCTCCCAGTTCAACAGGATCCGATACAGGAGGCTGGAGAACAGCAGAGAGACTTGAAGATGAGCCTAAAGAGAGGAAAAAAAATACATTTTCTCAGATATCGAGTGAGATGAAGATAAATCCCAATTTTATGGCATAGATAAAATATTCAGTACAGGTACAGTATACAAGAGGTGAAGGTACATAGGCTACATATAGTGCTGTAATTAACTACCACCTACCTTTGAGGACTAAAACTGTCCAGTCTGCTAATGCAGTATCTGTATAATATGCAACAGAGCAGTAATATGTAGCTGAATCAGATGGTTCTGCATTTGAGATACTCAGAGTAAAACTGCTTTTTTCTTTTAATACTTTAAAGCGACCGATCTTGTCAAAGCCATTATAATATACAGCAGGTATATAATGGTAAGCAGAAGCGATGAGAAGGGGCTTTTCTCCTGGAGCGTGTCTGAACCATGTAGTTGTTGATTCATCAGGGGATAAAAAAGAGCAATTCAGACTGATAGTTTTCCCATATTGAATGTACTTCAGTCCACTTTGAGAGATAATGTGTACTTTTGAGGTACCACCTAAAACAAAGGAAACAAAGAAAAACTTGCTGTTTGAATATCCATGAAAACTGTGTATTAGATACAGCCATGTGTGTTACAGCAGGAAACAAATTGCGATTAACAAATGAAAAAATACCTAATGCTGTTGACAGCAAAATAAGTAAACAAATCCCGATCATGGCCAAACTCATCAAGTAATGCATCTTCTGAAACACAAAAACACTTTTCCATTTCAGTTACACTTTACACACACTTCAGTAAATGATTAGTAAATAATATACAAATCAGCTTCAAGTAAAATACAGCTGCAATTCAATGTCAGTGGAACAAAATTTGATCACTTACAGTTTGTGAAGGACAATGATAAACTCTAGAGATGTAGCTGATATCCATGCATACTCTGTCTCAAAACTTCTCCAACAGCAGCTTCTGTACTTTCTGTGCTGAAAGCTGATTGGCTTCTCTCAAAGGAAGTAGAATTGGGCCCCGACCACTAAATGTGTAGGCATAAATTTAGAGCTCAAGAGGTAAATCCTTTGTGCTGTCTATAAGCATATATAAATGTGTTAATAACACATAACACAAGGCATCTTGAACATGGCTATAAATATTTATAAAATGCATTGCACTTTAAAGCCATGTTTATTATGCATTTTGAATTATTAACATAATGCATACTAAGTATTGTTCATAACATATTATAACATGTTATAACTCCCCTCTTGTGGGCTGCATTGTGATTAACACAACTACATAATCATAAACACACAGAGATTACATACTTGTCATTATGTCAAGGATAGCAAAAGAAGTGGTAGTGAGAAGTCCTGGATGTGGACCAACAAGGACACCTAGCAGCCTGTTGGGTTAACAATGGGTCTCTGGTGACACTTCGAGCTGATGGCAGAGCTGAGTGCAATAATTTGGCAGGCATTTCTAGCATTTGGGAGAGTAGTGTGGGGTGCGCTGCTGTCAGAGAAGCTGGGCCAGCATATGCAGTTCATTGCACTGGCCGACTCTCCAGCCATCACAGCCGAGGCAAGGAGTGCCAGGGCGCTGGGGAGAAGGACACAGCACTTAGTCTTTCTGCTCTGGCGCCCCAGGGAAGAGGATCCAGCATGTGAGTGTTTGCAGGGTGGATATATTCTGTAACCCCTGCGTGAAGAGACTGTGAGTTGGGGAGCAGCATGCCCCCAAGTGCTCCAAGAACCCTGCTCGGACTCTGCCCAGACTCTTTGTAGGACCTTCAAACGGGGGGCTGTATAGCGTTCATAGCCAGTTCAATATTCTATGTATACCCTTAGCTTGATGTTAACTTAATACTGCATACCCAATAAAATGCTAGCAGAAACTAGCATTACTGTAGTGATGATAATCAGACAAACAAAGGCTACTCACAAAGTGAAAGCTTCTAGTGGTTAATATTAGAACCAGTGAGGGGGCAAATAACGATGATGGCTCTGTACTAACTTGCCTCTCACTTTCCATGCCATCGCTCCACAGTAACTTCACGCTCAGTGTGATGTCAGAAGGGATTTGAGGGGAGGGGCCTGATGATTAGTATGTGATAATCTTGTCACTGATTGGTGGCTGCAGCAGAGAATCATACAGGGTTAACCAGTGGGGAACCCTCCAGAGGTGGGGGCATGGGGCAGTGGCCCCAGTAAAAATCTGATTTGCCCCTCAAGTGCCCCTCTCCTCTCACTCACATCAGAGCACATCATTGATAGATATACATGTACAGTCGCTGCCTTATTATCAATTATGAGTATGCCATTCATGAGAACTGTGTAAACTTTTTTTTATTTTGCTGTCAACAATGAAAATTCTGATGAATCCCTGTAACCAGTGGAATGTCATGATCATTCATATACAGATAGTATTTTAGCATTATAGTATTTTATTTTTATGTTGTAAGTCTAAACTTTGTAAAGTTCAAATGTTTCAGGACTGTGGTCATGGGTGGATAACAGTAATTTAGCTAAAGTTTTTGGAGTTAAATGGAACCTTTGTGGGTGAAATGAGAAAGCTTTGTGAGCAGAGCAGTTGGTTTCATTTTCACATACTTGATGTCTTTCTTCAGTAAGTTTCCAGTGGTTAGGGTTAGACTAGGTTAGGTGCAGGAAGGTGAATATATGTACGTTTTAATTTGTTTGCCAAACAAGAGAATCAGCTACCCCTTTGTCTTTAGAACATGTTGATTTATGTGGACTGTTATGGGAGCTAAGTGACATCTACATAAAACATTGCAATCATCGGGGTCCAAGCACCCCACACCTTATCGAGACAGTATAGGCCTTTGAGCAGATAGAACATATATGACAGGCAGTTCTATGAATAATCTCTATTTATAGTAAGTGCTGAAAAGGGGTCTCAAAATAATGTCAAATTTTGTGCACACTGACCTTTTGACCTTGCTAAGGTAAGGTAAGAAATACATTTTTCACAAACTATAATTTGAGGTCAAATTATAATCTCTAGGTCAGAATATCTGGAAAGCTTTTACTTTGTATTGACATAGTGTAAAAGTAACAAACAATCATTCTACAGCAAGTATTTATTTCCATGTATTTTATTTTCATAGTGCATCAAAAGACTTTATTTTCATGTTAAATCACCATATCACTGTCTCTAGGGGACCATGCCACTGGGTCTTCCTACAGAGGGTTGATTTCTGAACTTTTTCACAGCTTCTTTCTCTGTTTGCATGTCTGAATATGTCAGTGAAGTTATTAGCCTAGTGAAATTATCAGCCTAATGATTAGATATGTTACCATGTCTGATTCTGAATGTAAAACACACTGAGTAATGTACAGAATGATACATAATGTACAGCTATATCAATAGTGTGGTTGATGCTTTATAAAGTGTTAATATATATATATATATACATACATATTAATATATATATATATACATATTCATTATGCATTTTGTATTTAAACAATACAAGTACTGTACTATTACTCTTATTTCATTGTTACAATTTGATTTGAAACAAAGTTTCTCATGGAAATTTTTCCTTTGGTAACTAGACAACCAAGCTATATCACCTATTGGTTAGGCCTTCAGGAGCTGGACTGAAGGCCTTACATGTTAGATTACCAAAATTATAAGTAAATGACAGAGAATTCAACCAGTCATCATTTGATTAACAATTGTTGGGAACACATAACTCCAGGTTCTCTGGAAATCTTTGATCCGTCACTAACTGGGAATATGAGCGGTAGTCTAACCAGGTTTCAGTCAGTTAGAAAAGAAAAACAGCAGCAGCTCCATTCCAGGGCTCTTTAGTTAAAAAGGCACTGTAGAACTACTACATATAAAATAAAATATATCATCACTGTCCAAAGAAAAACAAGTATCTCCAATAAAGTAAAGTTACGGGAGAAGGCAAAAACATTCTTTACTTTCAGTATAAGTCTCTTTCAATTAAATAGGTTTTATTCTGAGCATTTTTGGGGCATTTCTATTGGTCCAATCATCATGAAATTTTCACACAATGTAAAGGACATCTGCTGAGCTCAGATGATGCAGAAAAGTAAAAATCGCAAAAATGGAGATACATATTTTTCATTGGACATGGCTATAAAGTGTAATTCAGTGTAATTCTTTTTTATATTTTTATAACCACATTTATAATGCCTTATGAATACATTATAACATGTTATAAATGTGTTTATAGATGCTTACAAATGCGACATTCATAGAAAGTGTTACCAAGTATTCTCCTATGTGATGCTATTTTTTATGCAATACCAGCATGTCACATAAAAAGATAAGCCACATTTCTACATTAATTGTTTTTTTTGTGTGTGTGTGTGTTTTTGCTTTTCTGTGGTTAACTTTATATTCTACTAGATAACCTGAACTGTTAGGGATACATATTCTTGTTTGCTTTCTTCCAGTACACAACTGACAGCCAGTGTTGACACCTCCAAATAAATTCTAATTGCTCTAAAAAGCCTAAAAACCCACTGCCTCTGCACACCCACAGTAGCAGGAGTCAAAGTAGAGACAGTGAATTAGCCTGCCTGTGTCCACACACAGGGCGGCACGGTGGCGCAGTGGGTAGCGCTGTTGCCTCACAGCAAGAATGGCCTGGGTTCGATTCCCGGCTGGGCGACCAGGGCCGTTTCTGTGTGGAGTTTGTCTGTTCTCCCCGTGTCTGCGTGGGTTTCCTCCCACAGTCCAAAAACATGCAGTCAGGCTGATTGGACATGCTAAATTGCCCCTAGGTGTGAATGTATGTGTATGTCTGTCTGTCTGCCCTGCGATGGACTGGCGACCTGTCCAGGGTGTATCCTGCCTTCCGCCCAATGACAGCTGGGATAGGCTCCAGCACCCCACCGTGACCCAGAAGGATAAGCGGTTTAGATGATGTATGTATGTATGTATGTCCACACACACACAAAAGCGTTTCTTAATTGTCTCTAAAACACTTATTCTCATTTTTAATTACATAAAAACTTTTATTTTACAGCATTAATGCAATTTTAAAAAATACTGCATTATTTGGTAGGCCCTCATCAGATAATATTATATTATCAATAAAAGTGATGATTCCCTTAGCTCAAAAAAAAAATCAGCTTTATTGGGGATATTTGATCTGCGAGTAAACGTCAGCGTCTTTAAGCTTCTGTTGTCTTTTAGTGCCTCTGGAGGACGGTGGTTTATTAGTGAAACTCAGTGCTGCATAGTTCAAAGCTTCATCACATTCACCCTGCAGAAAGAGATTGTAACACACTTCACTGTAAACTCGCTGAGCAAAATGAGACTTTAGCAGAAGAGTTACAAGATCTTACAACTAGCACATTAAACATAGTTTCACAGTATTTTGCATGGTACAGAGAGTTAGTGATCATAGGTAAGAGTAACTAAAGTTCAAATGTACAACTTCTAAAACATTTTGTAATCATTGTGTACTTAATTTTAATATTTCATTTATATCTATAATTTAATACAGTATATTAATTTTATAATAAACAATATCAATAAAATTAACGTTTAATATAATTAATTTTTATTTACAATTTATATGTATTATTACACATTTATATTAATCAATTATTGAAACTGTAAATGACAAAAAAAACATACAAGTATGACAAGGTATATCTGAGAATTGGGAGCTTCCAAAGACGGAGTTTAGCCAAAAGAAGAAATTGAATTAATCACCTGGTTTGCTTGGACTGAGTGACCTTCAGCAGCATCTTCAAAAAACAAGTAAATCATTTAAACACATTACATAACTGAACTTGTAAAAATGACTAAAATACCTTCATTAACAAAAGAAACTGAACAATAATATCAGTGTCAGAGGTAAAACTTACCTCTATGATGATTGTTGTGTAATTTTCTATACAGAAATAAAACCACAGCCATGGTAATGATGATCGAAGCTGCTGAACCGATAATGACTGGGAACAAAATGCTGTTCTCTATAATAAGCAAGAAAGCAGGTTTTAATAATCAAATTCTTTGTTGAATGTGATGCCTAAAATAGCAATGATAAAAAAGGTGAACACAAAAAAACAGAAATTGTTTCAGAAAAGTCAAAAGGCATTCATTACATAATTTTATCTAGAATCATAAAGTGAATGGATGTGAATAGCGACTTGGCAGGCTATGTCTTTTTTGCAGGGTAAATCTACATCATGTGTCTTTTGCATTATTAAGGAAAAGAAAATATTTTCTCAGATATTATGAGTGAAAATTGTGAACCTCAGTTGTGCTTAAGGCTATTATAATGAATTTAAAATACCTGCTCTTACCTACAACATCCAGTTTAGTTCCATTCCCAAAGATGATCTCTCCACACGTGAGCACAGCACAGTAGTAAGTTCCAGCATCAGAGAGGCTGAGGTTTCTCTTGGGGAGTTTGTAGACACAGCTCTGTGTAGGAGAATCAGTCTCAGAGCTTTTCTTACACTCATCACTCCTGTTTCCATGAGTGTAAATGATTCCTGGATGAGATTCTCCTGATCCATGTCTGATCCAGTACACACTGTGTTCTCCTGCAGACGTATCTGTGAGTATTGAACACTGCAAAGTTGTATCTCCTCCTAGTCCAACAGGATCTGATACAGGAGGCTGGAGAACAGCAGAGAGACTTGTAGATGAACCTAAAGAGAGAAAAACATATGTATTTTATAGATAAAATCTTCAGTACAGAAAGTGGGGAAGGTACATATAGTGCTGTAATTAAGTAGCACCTACCTTTGAGCACTAAAACTGTGCAGTCTGCTAATGCAGTATCTGCATAATATGTAACAGAACAGTAGTATGTTGCTGAATCAGATGGTTCTGCATTTGAGATCCTCAGATTAAAACTGTCTTTTTCTTTGAACACATTAAAGCGGCCACTCTTGTCAAAGCCATTATAATATGCAGCTGGTCTGGAATAATAAGCAGAGGCGATGAGAAGAGGCTTTTCCCCTGGAGGCTGTTTGAGCCATGCAGTCGTTGAAGCTTCAGAGGATGAAAAAGAGCAATTCAGACTGATGTTTTCTCCACGGTGAACATACTTCTGTCCACTTAGGGAGACAATGTCTAACTTTGAGGTACCACCTAAAAATAAATAAATAAATTATTCAAGAACTGTATTAAAAGTGCAGCAACCCATGTGTGTTACAGCAGGAAACAAACTGCAGTTAATAGAAAAGAAATGAAACAGTACCTAATGCTGTTGGCAGCAAAAGAAGTAGACAAAATCGAGTCATGGCCAAACTCTTCAAGTAATGCATTTCCTGAAACACAGAAAAACACTATTCAGTTATGCTTTATAAACACTTCGGTAAATGATTAATAAATAATGTACATTCAAGCTCCAACTAAAATTCAATGTCAGTAGAACAGAGTTCATTCGATGTGCTCACTTACAGTTTGTGAAGGACAATGATAACCTCTCGAGATGTAGCTGAAGTCTGTGCGTCACTCTGTACTTAAAACTACAACAGCAGCTTCTGTACTTTCTGTGCTGAAAGCTGATTGGCTACTATTACAGGAAGTAGAATTGGGCCCCATCCACTCACATGTGTGGGCATAAATTTACAGCTCAATATGCAAATCATTTGTGCTGGCTTATAAACCTGGTTTGGCCCAAGTAGTCACACCAAATAAACTGAGTTAAGATATAAAATATAGATGTTTTTACAGTTTGTTTCTTCAACAGTTACAATTAACTACAAAAACGGAAAAACAATCCTAAATTAAATAACAGAATAACTACATTTTTACTGCACATAATGCATCAAATGTGCATTTTAAGGCAGGATATGAAGACGACTAAATACAGACATTTTCTAAACACAGAAATTTGAACTTTGTGAGTAATATCTTCTCAACTTAAAAAAATAGTTTTCCTAACTCCAAAGAAAAGTGGAAAATCTTCTACAAAATCATGGATTACATTTAACAATATCAGATGCCTCTGTAAGCAATGGCCCTGCATTTGCCTCTGTGGTCCCTCACAGTGTTGTTCAGCAACACCAGCAGCTCTATCCTTTACCTTTACATTGTCTGAATCTCCATGACAGACACCATGTTTTGACAACTCCTAAACTTGTCTACACCAACCCACAGAGCAGGCAATGTACTGGACCCTGATGAGACACAGCAGTGCTGCTGGAGTTTTTGAACACTGTGTCCACTCCCTGTCCACTCTATTACATACACCTACCTCGTTGGTCCATCCTGTAGATGTAAAGTCAGAGACGATAGCTCATCTGCTGCTGCACAGTTTATGTTTGTCATCCTATAGTCCTTCATCAGTGGTCACAGGACGCTGCCCACGGGACACTGTTGGGTGGATAATTTTGATTGATGGACTATACTTAGTCCAGCAGTGACTAAAAACCTCCAGCAACACTGCTGTGTCTAATCCACTAATAATAGTGCAACACTAACTAACACACCACCACCACATCAGTGTTCCTGCAGTGCTGAGAATGATCCACCACCCACATAGTACCTGCTCTGTGGTGGTCCTGTGGGGGTCCTGACCACTGAAGAACAGGGTGAAAAGTGGCTAACAAAGTGCGCAGAGAAACAGATGGACTACGGTCTGTAGTTGTGGAACTACAAAGTGCACCTATATGGTAAGTGGACCCGATAAAATGGGCAATGACTGCAGATACAAGGAGGTGCATACTTAAAGTGGCCAGTCGATGTATCTCCTGCACTACCCTTTGCTTTATTACTAAAGTTTGTGAAGGGTTTACCCATGCGTGTGTATCTCATATCACAAAAGTTCTAATAGCTAAGAAAAGAACTCCACCAGTTTGGAATAATCAAATGTACTTCAAATATTGAGAAAGTTATTGATATTCTTTATTTTACTGTTACTGCCAGTTTTGCATGTATTTTTTCTCAAAGGTATGTATTTGGAACACTTCCTTTAACAATGGCTGCAGTCATAGTAGCTAGACAGAAGTCCAACTGCATGTCTACTAAAGATTGCTCAATCTTAAGGCCTGTACTTCCGTTAACTTTTGGATCACATTCTTCAGAAGAAAAATCTACATGCTAGATCTACCCCTGTCAACTTTAAGTGCTATTATTGTAAAATCAAAGTATCTAGGAGCAACAATAGCTTAGCCACAAAGTGGTAGACCACACAAACTCACAGAGTGGGACCCCTGAGTGCTGAAACGCACAGTGCCTTTCCACTGTTGAATCACTTACTAAAGGTTTCCAAATTGTCTCTGATGCAAAATCAGCAAAAGGACAGTGTGTTGGGAGCTTCACAAAATGGATTTCCATGGCTGAGCAGCTACGCACAAGCATAAAATCAAAATGCACAATGCAAAACAGGGTGGGAGTGGTGTAAAATGTCGCCGCTGGACATTGGAAATGTATTCTGTGGAGTGATGAATCACGCTTCTCTATCTGGCAGTCTGATGAATGAGTCTGGGTTTGGCGAATGTCAGGAGAACGTTACCTGCCTGACTGCGTTGTGCCAACTGTAAATATTGGTGGAGGAGGGATAATGCTATGGGGTTGTTTTCAGGGATTGGCCTAGACCCCTTAGTTCCAGTAAAGGGAAATATTAGTGCTTCAGCATACCAAGACATTTTGGACATTTGTATGCATCTGTCACGCATTCAGCTAGTCCTCAGATGGACAAGGACTACATCTCCCAGAATCCACTGGGGGTTCACATGGCGGAGCTACTTCCCTCGCACCCAGAATCTGACTCGGACTCCATTAACCAGACTTCCCAGCGAGGTCACATGACTCCTGACCGGTCCTCGTGCTCCTATCAGCATTCACGTTCACCCGAATACTAATATGTTTCAGCTGTGTCTATGTCATATGACTCAGATAGTTTCGTTTATAAGCCCGGGCTTTAGCCAGTGTTAGTTGCGAGGTATTACTTACCCTGTGAAACTACTGAACGTTTATTCCTGTTGATATTATCATGTATTTGACCTTTTGCTTGTTTTTCTTCGACTCTGCTTTTTTGATCTGCCCTTTTGTACTTTTGCCTGATTTCTTGGATTACTGTTTTTGACCCATCGCTTGATTTTGCTGACTTCATTTTAGATTTGACCTTGTTTGTTATGTTCTCCATTGTAACTCTGCTGTGCTTTTTGGAACTGACCCACGCCTGTTCTCTGATTACGTTGTATGCCACTGCTTCTACCAGTAAAGCCTTCCTTGTGTTTTCAATCCGCAAGCGTCTGATTTCTGGTGACATTTTACAGCATCCCACTTTGTGGGAACAGTTTAGGGGAAGGCCATTTCTGTTCCAGCATGACTGAGCCCCAGTGCACAAAGCAAGGCCCATAAAGGCATGGCTGGGTGAGTTTGGTGTGGAAGAACTTGACTGGCTTGCACGGAGCCCTGACCTCAACAACATCGAACACCTTTGGGATGAACTAGAACGGAAATTGTGAGCCAGGCTCTCTTGTCCAATAACAGTGTCTGACCTCACAAATGATCCTCTGGATGAATGGGCCAAAAATTCCCACAGACACAGTAAAAAAAAAAATCTTGTAGAAAGCTTCCCAGAAGAGTGGAAGCTGTGACAGCTGCAAAGGGGTTAGTGCCTATGGATTTAGAATGGGATGTCATAAAAGCCCCTGTAGGTGTGTGTGTGTGTGTATGTGTGTGTGTGTGTGTGTGTGTGTCATTTTTTCAAACTGTGAATGTGCTGTATTCTTTTCCCTTATGAACTACATACCATGCTTGAGTACCAAATTTCTTCAGACTTCATCTCTCTTCGTCATCATATTGGAAAGTTTCATAGATTAAAAAATACAGTTACGTTTACTTACAGATACATTTCCTTTATTAATAGGTCTACTTTAAAAGGTCTGTATAAAAAGCAATAAAGGCAGGCTGACCGTGCCCAGGAACTGACCCTTGGAGTAGCACCAGCACAATAATAAGTAGTGTGGGCATTCACCATATAGATAAGATGCTCTTCAATTACAGATTCAGAAGCTAATTGTTTCTGTGCCTCAGAGTTGTCAAGCATGAATGGCTAAAAGAGGCAGTTACATACAGACTGCACTGCAACTATTGTTAATGTTCACAATGGTTATTATTTTTTTTTTGTAGTTTTCATTTGTTTATTTTTGTTATTTACACCATGACAGTTAAAATTACAGTCCAAGAGGTGTTGCATATGTGTAATTTCTGAAAGCACAGTTGCAAACATCTGTGTATACACATATGAGCTGATACTGGATAAGGTGTACATTTTTTAAAATTAAACTAATTTGTGCATATTTTTATGTGCCATTTTGCACATAAAAATATGGATAATGCTACGTTGACATCTCTCTATTCAAGACTCCACACTCATAGTCTACTCAATTAGGCAAAAGTTATAAATTAGATTTAGAATCAGGCCTACATGTACAAAATTAACAATTCTGATATTTAGAATCAGACTGAAGTCCCGGCAGATAGCTCATGTTCACTGGTGGTGACAGAATTATCACGCATATCTTTGATGAACATTGTGGGGGAGGGACAAGTGATATCAGGCTTGTGATATATGTATGACTAAAGCTTATGAAAAACCAGGACCACCCAACATGTAGATATTGGAATATTATTTTTAGGGTTTTCTAACCCGGTGTGAAATGATTAGTATGATGAGTATCAAAATTTTTCTGACAGTCCAGATTTTTTTCAAAAACCAAGGTACATGTATTACTACTCAAGTCAAGTCAAAGTTTATTTATACAGCACTTTTTACAACAGGTGTTGTCACAAAGCAACTTTACAGAAAAAATCCGGATCCAAGCCCCCATGAGCGAGCCAATGGCGACAGTGGCAAGGAAAAACTCCCTAAAAGCAAAAGGAAGAAACCCTGAGAGGAACCAAGACTCAAGAGGGGAACCCATCCTCCTCTGGTCGACACCAGAGAGCAAACAGCGTTAGAATAAAATGTTAAAATACAAAATGGGGAAAAACAGGTGGATTAATGTTTAATTAAATAGTTTGAATTTATGCAGCAGCAGCAGCATCAGGAGGGTCAGTTCATGCAGGTGAGGTTTGTACAGCTTTGTACAGTGTGTAGCTCCATGGTGGTCAAAACTGTGCAGATCAGCCAACGGAGCTCTGGTGACTCCGGCGACCCAGGCAAACGTTGCTCAGGGGCTCAAATAAAGGGAGAGAGAAAGAGAGAGAGAGAGAGAGAGAGAGAGAGAGAGAGAGATTGATTAGCAGGACATTAATAATTCCATGATGCTGGTAGCTCCTCGATGTTCCAAAATTATCCATCAGGATCAAGCGGGGAGGACAGTCATCAGCTCAAAGAGAAGATAAAGGGAGAGAGAACAAGAGAGAGGCAAACAATTTATAAGTTAAGTCTATTTGTGGAGAGATGATAGAGAGTAATAGTGCAGCTACTGATATTAGCAAAAGGAGATCATTTACTACTCTAGTTAATGGTGTTTCATTACTGTGAAAGGGTCTAAAGCCAGACTGAAACATCTCATGGAGGGATTTTCTTGTAGATAGGAGCACAGTTGATGTGAGACCACTTTTTCTACAATCTTTGCTGGAAATTGGTCTATAGTTGGTGAGTTCATTGGGATCAAGATCTTGCTTTTTAAGTAGGGGTTTAACGCTTGCGAGTTTTAATGATTTTGGTACATATCCATGCATGTTGATGATCTGGATGAGCTAATCAGTGTGACTAATTTGTTTGGTTGGAAAGGACTAAAATATACACTATATTGCTAAAAGTATTCACTCACCCATCCAAATCATTGGATTCAGGTGTTCCAATCACTTCCATGGCCACAGGTGTATAAAACCAAGCACCTAGGCATGCAGACTGCTTCTACAAACATTTGTTAAAGAATGGGTTGCTCTCAGGAGCTCAGTGAATTCCAGCGTGGTACTGTGATAGGATGCCACCTGAGCAACAAGTCCAGTCATAAAATTTCCTCGCTACTAAATATTCCACAGTCAACTGTCAGTGGTATTATAACAAAGTGGAAGCGGTTGGGAACGACAGCAACTCGTAAAATGACAGAGCGGGGTCAGCAGATGCTGAGGCGCGTAGTGCGCAGAGGTCGCCAACTTTCTGCAGAGTCAATCGCTACAGACCTCCAAACTTCATGTGGCCTTCAGATTAGCTCAAGAACAGTGTAGAGAGCTTCATGGAATGGGTTTCCATGGCTGAGCAGCTGCATCCAAGCCTTACATCACCAAGCGCAATGCAAAGCATCGAATGCAGTGGTGTAAAGCGCCGCCACTGGACTCTAGAGCAGTGGAGACGTGTTCTCTGGAGTGACGAATCACGCTTCTCCATCTGACAATCCGATGGACAAGTCTGGGTTTGGCGGTTGCCAGGAGAACGGTACTTGTCTGACTGCTTTGTGCCAAGTGTAAAGTTTGGTGGAGGTGGGATTATGGTGTGGGGTGGTTTTTCAGGAGTTGGGCTCGGCCCCTTAGTTCCAGTGAAAGGAACTCTTAATGCTTCAGCAGACCAAGAGATTTTGGACAATTTCATGCTCCAAACTTTGTGGGAACAGTTTGGGGACGGCCCCTTCCTGTTCCAACATGACTGCGCACCAGTGCACAAAGCAAGATTCATAAAGACATGGATGAGCGAGTTTGGTGTGGAAGAACTTGACTGGCCTGCACGGAGTCCTGACCTCAACCCGATAGAACACCTTTGGGATGAATTAGAGCGGAGACTGCGAGCCAGGCCTTCTCGTCCAACATCAGTGTCTGACCTCACAAATGCGCCTCTGGAAGAATGGTCAAAAAATTGATGATTTGTTTAGAGCTAAATATTCACCCTGATCGTATACTGAGTAGGCCAAGTTTAATGCGAGAGGTGCTGGTGCTGCTACTATAAGAAGTTAACTTCACTTTAGTAACATTGTTAGGACAGATTTTTCGACGTCAATACGAATTGGATGGGCAACGGACACGGTCTCAATGTTATAAGACATAAGGGCGGTAGGGACATTAGAAATGTCCACATTAACATTATTGGTGTTTGGACTATGAGCATTAGTATTTTTAGAATCAGTATTATTATTAGCATATGCCTTACTTGCAGTATTAGCACTAGCATTATTAGCATTAACATTTCTAGTGTTAGCTATAAGCTGTTCGTCTGTGCTACTTACATGGCCTTCATTTTGTAGTCAGTGGATGGTTCTCTCGATGTTCCGTGAGAGGACAACCAATTCAAGATGACTAGAGTGAAGCTCATCCATCCAGTAAAGTGCTGGCTGCTCCCAAAACGAAGACCAGTTGTCCACGTAGCCCAGGCCGTTAATGGCGCATCAGATGCAGGGCCAGGACTGCAGCGCATCTATCTAGAACACGAGCACCTGGAAAACAAGACACAGTGGCATTGCTGTTTATATCATTTACTTTAATGTGGCAGACAGTAGAACTACCAATGATATAAATTCAGTGCTGTGTAGAGGTCCGAGGCGCTGAGGGCGGGTGATGAGGTTCGAAACGCAGGCATAGGGGTAGTAAGTAAGTAAGTAAGTAAAGTTTATTTATATAGCGCTTTTTACAACAGGTGTTGTCACAAAGCAGCTTTACAAGGAAATGAGCATTACAAAAAGAAGTCCGGGTCCGAGCCCCCATGAGCAAGCCAGTGGCGAGGGGTAGGCGTAGGATGGTTGCAGGAGGTGAAGATTGGTGGCGGTGTGGGTCTGCAAGGCCCTCAGCGGCGCTGGTGTTCCCAGGCTCCATGCAGGGCTCGTGTGAGAATGGCGTCTCCATGTGTATGTAGAGACGAGGCTGGCGCAACCACTGAGGGGGAAACTTCCTGGGCGGCTTCGAGCTACGACTTCTGACAAAGGAGCTCTGCCGGTCCAGCCACGCCAGCTCTGTGCTCAGTGACTGGAAAGCGCGTTCTTTGGCAGACGCCATGGTGAGTGGGCTGAAAAATACCGTCTACTTCCAAAAGATATCGAAGGTTGCTCCAACAAACTGCTCTCCAGAAGTCTGAACCTCTCTAAAACCTTTCTAAAACAAACAAACCAGTTCTAACCAGTCTCAACCGGTTTTAACCAGCCCCAACCGGCTGTAACCAGCAGCGGCTCACCATATATCACGTTTACAAGGCTAATCATAGACCATTCACAGATATCACCAGGTGTTCTGCACTTTCAGGTACCTCACTCTGATAAGAAGTACTTGATTGTGTAATTAGAATGTGTGATTATGCGTTGGTATTATAAATATATCTTCCAGTATCAATATCACTTTTTAGAGAAGCCCTAATAAAGCCTACTAGAACTTGCAGTCTACTGTCACTGGCTCCACATAGTTGCAGAAGTCAAAACAGGAGTTATTTGAACCCCCCTTGCGCACGTACACACACACAAAGAAAGTAGACTTGGGTAGACTTGTATCTAACATAGTATCCACTTTTAATAATTCCTTTTTACAGTAAATGAAAATAAAAAATACATTTTAAAATAGTACTTTACTCAGTTAACTAGAAAATGTGACATCATAAGAAATGTATTAAGCTTGTTACCGGTCAGTCAGCAAAATTCCCTAAGTAACAAAGGGAAGGGATTTTTGTTAGCCTTAGAAAGTTCAGTTTTGTTGGTAATATATGACCTGGGAGCACACTTCAGAGTCTTTAGACACCTTTCTAGTCCCTCTGAAGGATAATGCTTCATTGCCGACATTCCCTGCAGCAAAGTACAAAGCTTCATTGCATGCAGCCTGCAGAAAGAGACAGTATGTAATAGATCTCACTAATAATTAGTTCAGCAAAGAGCAAGATTGTGTAGTTTTAGTTTAGCAGAAAAGGTATGAGAAAGTGGAATATATACCTGGCCTATATGAACACTGTGACCTTCAGCAGCATCTTCAACAAATAATTAAACCATTCAAATGTATTACATTACGGTATTGATTACAAAAAATGCAAAAAATATTTCAACAATGGCAGAAACTGAACAATCATGTCAGTGTTAACATGAAACCTACCTTTATGTTGACAGATGTGTGATTTTCTGCACATAAATAAAGTCACAGCTACAGATAGAATGTTTGATGCTGCTAAAGCCCAAATGGTTGGGTACAAACCACTGTTCACTATAATAAGGAAGAAAGCAGATTTAAATATATTTTAATAATTTATTAAAATCTTTGATCAATGTGATTCAGAAAGAAAATGCACTGAGCAAAAAAAAGAAAATAAAAAGACGTCTTGTAGTTTTGTAATTCTATTGTATAGCAGATGTTCTGACAAAATTAAATGGTCCTTTATTAAGGTTTGATGTTACTCAATTTTATTTCAAATATCTGCTCTTACCTACAATGTCCAGGTTAGTTCCGTTCCCAAAGATGATCTCTCCACACATGAGCACAGCACAGTAGTAAGTTCCAGCATCAGAGAGGCTGAGGTTTCTCTTGGGGAGTTTGTAGACACAGCTCTGTGTAGGAGAATCAGTCTCAGAGCTTTTCTTACACTCATCTCTGCTGTGTGGATGAATGTAGATGATTCCTGGATGAGATTCTCCTGATCCATGTCTGAACCAGTACACACTGTGTTCTCCTGCAGACGTATCTGTGAGTATTGAACACTGCAAAGTTGTATCTCCTCCTAGTCCAACAGGATCTGATACAGGAGGCTGGAGAACAGCAGAGAGACTTGTAGATGAACCTAAAGAGAGAAAAACATATGTATTTTTGCAGGTGTTGAGTGACATTTAAAAAGAGAAGGTGTGAGTAGTGCCACCTTATATTATAGATAAAATATTCAGTACAGAAAGTGGGGAAGGTACATGCTGTAATTAAGTAGCACCTACCTTTGAGCACTAAAACAGTCCAGTCTGCTAATGCAGTATCTGCATAATATGTAACAGAACAGTAATATGTTGCTGAATCAGATGGTTCTGCATTTGAGATCCTCAGATTAAAACTGTCTTTTTCTTTGAACACATTAAAGCGGCCACTCTTGTCAAAGCCATTATAATATGCAGCTGGTCTGGAATAATAAGCAGAGGCGATGAGAAGAGGCTTTTCCCCTGGAGTCTGTTTGAGCCATGCAGTCGTTGAAGCTTCAGAGGATGAAAAAGAGCAATTCAGACTGATGTTTTCTCCATGGTGAACATACTTCTGTCCACTTAGGGAGACAATGTCTAACTTTGAGGTACCACCTAAAAATAAATAAATAAATTATTAAAGAAGTGTATTAAAAGTGCAGCAACTCATGTGTGTTACAGCAGGAAACAAACTGCAGTTAATAGAAATGAAACAGTACCTAATGCTGTTGGCAGCAGAAGAAGTAGACAAAATCGAGTCATGGCCAAACTCTTCAAGTAATGCATTTCCTGAAGCACAGAAAAACACTATTCAGTTATGCTTTATAAACACTTCAGTAAATGATTAATAAATAATGTACATTCAAGCTCCAACTAAAATTCAATGTCAGTAGAACAGAATTCATTCGATGAGCTCACTTACAGTTTGTGAAGGACAATGATAACCTCTCGAGATGTAGCTGAAGTCTGTGCGTCACTCTGTACTTAAAACTACAACAGCAGCTTCTGTACTTTCTGTGCTGAAAGCTGATTGGCTCCTTTTACAGGAGGAAGAATTGGGCCCCATCCACTCACACGTGTGGGCATAAATTTACAGCTCAATATGCAAATCATTTGTGCTGGCTTATAAACCTGGTTTGGCCCAAGTAGTCACACCAAATTAGTTAAGTTAGTTTCTTAAACAGTTACAATTACTTACACCTGAAAACAATCTCAAATTAAATAGCAGAATAAATACATTTTTACTGCACATAATGCATCAAATGTGCATATTAAGGCAGGATATGAAGACGATTAAACATTTCCTAAACACAGAAATTTCTTTGAGTAATATTTCCTCATCCTAAAAAGTAGTTTTCCTAACTCCAAAGAAAAGTGGAAAATCTTCTACAAAATCATGGATTACATTTAACAATATCAGATGCCTCTGTAAGCAATGGCCCTGCATTTGCCTCTGTGGTCCCTCACAGTGTTGTTCAGCAACACCAGCAGCTCTATCCTTTACTTTTACATTGTCTAAATCTCCTTGACAGACACCATGTTTTGACCCCTTCCTAAATTTGTCTACACCAACCCACAGAGCAGGCAATGTACTGGACCCTGATCAGACACAGCAGTGCTGCTGGAGTTTTTAAACACTGTGTCCACTCACTGTCGACTCTACACTCTCAGTAATAAAGGTAGTAAACTGTCACTGGGGTGGTGCCCTCAAGGGTACATCTCAGTACCTTCAGTCAGGGAACATAATTGTATCATAATCCATTGAAATTATATTTTGAAGTACACACCCCGTCTCGTCTCCAGGCATTTTATTTTATTGTTGTGTTTTAAAACATTAGGTTATGAAAAGGTACTAATACATACTTTTCACCTGGGAAAAACTTATTTAAGCCACACAGTTTGACCTTAAAACCACTGTTTTACCTTTGAGGGAACATTTACATTGTGTGTACCGTGATAAATAAAAATTGTGCCTGCACAGCACCTTTATTTCTAACAGTGTATTACATATACCTACCTCGTTGGTCCACCGTGTAGATTTAAAGTCAGAGATGATAGCTCATCTGTTGCTGTACAGTTTGTGTTAGTCATCCTCTAGTCCTTCATCAGTGGCCACAGGATGCTGCCCACAGGACACGGTTGGGTCAATATTTTTGGTTGATGGACTATACTCAGTCCAGCAGTGATGAAAAACTCCAGCAGCACTGCTGCGTCTGATTCGATCATACCAGCGCAACACAGGGGTAATGGTTTAAAGCACGCCGTCACTGGACTCTGGAGCAGTGGAAATGTACTCTGTGGAGTGATGAATCACGCTTCTCTATCTGGCAGTCTGATGGATGAGTCTGGGTTTGGTGAATGCCAGGAGAACGTTACCTGCCTGACTGCATCGTGCAGACTGTAAAGTTTGGTGGAGGAGGGATAATGATATGTGGTTGTTTTTCAGGGGTTGGTCTAGACCCCTTAGTTCCAGTGAAGGAAATCTTAATGCTTCAGCTGACAAAGACATTTTGGACAATTGTATGCATCCAGTTTATGTAGAGAAAGTTTGGGGAAGGGGCTTTTCTGTTCCAGCATGACTGAGCCCCAGTGCACAAAGCAAGGCCTACAAAGGCATGGCTGGGTGAATTTGGTGTAGAAGAACTTGACTGGCCTGCACAGAGCCCTGACCTCAACCCCATTGATCACCTTTGGGATGAACTAGAACAGAGATTGTAAGCCAGGCCCTCTTGTCCAACATCCATGTCTGACCTCACAAATGCTCTTCTGGATGAATGGCCAAAAATTCCCATAGACACTCCAAAATCTTGCAGAAAGCTTCCCAGAAGAGTGGAAGCTGTTATAGCTGCAAAGGCGTTAGGGCTTCTGTAGGTGTATTGTGTACCTATATATACACTATATTGCCAAAAGTATTCACTCACCCATCCAAATCATTGGATTCAGGTGTTCCAATCACTTCCATGGCCACAGGTGTATAAAACCAAGCACCTAGGCATGCAGACTGCTTCTACAAACATTTGTGAAAGAATGAGTCGCTCTCAGGAGCTCAGTGAATTCCAGCGTGGTACCGTGATAGGATGCCACCTGAGCAACAAGTCCACTCATGAAATTTCCTCGCTACTAAATATTCCACAGTCAACTGTCAGTGGTATTATAACAAAGTGGAAGCGGTTGGGAACGACAGCAACTCAGCCACGAAGTGGTCGGCCACGTAAAATGACAGAGTGGGGTCAGCAGATGCTGAGGCGCATAGTGCGCAGAGGTCGCCAACTTTCTGCAGAGTCAATCGCTACAGACCTCTAAACTTCATGTGGCCTTCAGATTAGCTCAAGAACAGCGTAGAGAACTTCATGGAATGGGTTTCCATGGCCGAGCAGCTGCATCCAAGCCTTACATCACCAAGCGCAATGCAAAGCATCGAATGCAGTGGTGTAAATCGCTGCCACTGGACTCTAGAGCAGTGGTGACGTGTTCTCTGGAGTGACAAATCACGCTTCTCCGTCTGGCAATCTGATGGACGAGTCTGGGTTCGGCGGTTGCCAGGAGAACGATACTTGTCTGACTGCATTGTGCCAAATGTAAAGTTTGGTGGAGGGGGGATTATGGTGTGGGGTGGTTTTTCAGGAGTTGGGCTCGGCCCCTTAGTTCCAGTGAAAGGAACTCTTAATGTTTCAGCAGACCAAGAGATTTTGGACAATTTCATGCTCCAAACTTTGTGGGAACAGTTTGGGGATGGCCCCTTCCTGTTCCAACATGACTGCGCACCAGTGCACAAAGCAAGGTCCATAAAGACATGGATGAGTGAGTTTGGTGTGGAAGAACTTGACTGGCCTGCACAGAGTTCTGACCTCAACCCAATAGAACACCTTTGGGATGAATTAAAGCGGAGACAGTGAGCCAGGCCTTCTCGTCCAACATCAGTGTCTCACCTCACAAATGTGCTTCTGGAAGAATGGTCAAAAATTCCCATAAACACACTCCTAAACCTTGTGAAAAGCCTTCCCAGAGGAGTGGAAGCTGTATAGCTGCAAAGGATGGGCCGACATCATATTAAACCCTATGGATTAAGAATGGGATGTCACTCAAGTTCATATGCGTGTGAAGGCAGACGAGCGAATACTTTTGGCATTATAGTGTATATATATATATATATATATATATATACATATATATATATATATCATATACTATATATATATATATATATATATATGTGTGTGTGCGTGTGTGTGTGTGTGTGTGCGTGTGTGTGTGTGCGTGTGTGTGCGCCCATTATTTTTTCTAACTGTGAATGTGCTGTATTCTTTCCCCTTATGAAATACATCCTATGCTTGAGTGCCAAATTTCTTCAGACTTCATCTCTTCATTATCATATTGCAAAGCTTCATAGATTAAAAAAGACACACATTTACTTACAGATACATTTTGACATAAGGTCTATATAAAAAACAATAAAAGCAGGCTGACCGTGCCCAGGAACTGACCCTTGGAGTAGCACCAGCGTGATAATGGAGTAGTGTGGGCATTCATCATACTTTACAATTACAGTGGGCATTCATCATGCTTTACAATTACAGATTCAGAAACTCATTGTTTCTGTGCCTCAGAGTTCTCAAACATGAATGACTGAAAGAGGCAATGACATATGGACTGCATTGTAATTGTTGTTAATGTTCACAATGGTTATTAGTTTTCTGTGGTAGTTTTCAGTTATTTAGTTTTGTTATTTACACCATGACAGTTGAAATTACAGTCCAAGAGGTGTTGCATGTGTGTAATCTCTGATAGCAAAGTTGCAAACATCTGTTTACACACATATGAGCTGATACTTGATAAGTTGTACATTATTGTAAATAAACTAATTTGTGCATATTTTTATGTGCCATTCTTACAATGGATTATGCTTCATTGACATCTCTCTGTTCAAGACTCTGCACTAATAGTCTACTCAATTAGGTAAAGCAACAAATTAGATTTAGAATCAGGCCTACATGTACAAAACTAACAATTCTGATATTTAGAATCAGACTGAAGTTCCAGCAGATAGCTCATGTTCACTGGTGGTGATGGAATTATCACAGTAGTCTATGCTTGCTACGTTAGCTTTCACTTGCAAGGTTGCTCAAACTCAGAGAGTGAGACTGTTCAAGCTTTGACGCATATCTTTGATGAACGCTATGTGGGAGGGACAAGTGACATCAGGCTTGTGATATATGTATGACTACAGCTTACAAAAACCCAGGACCACCCCATTTATATCAATGAGGTACATGTAGATATTGGAATATTATTCTTAGGGTCTGATAACCCAGTGTGAAAATGATTAATATGATGAGTATCAACATTTTTCTGACAGTCCAGATTTTTGACAAAAACCAAGATACACATATTACTATTGCCACAGCCTTTTCACAGGAGCACTTAAAGGAGGGGGTTGTTGATGTTGCATAGTCCAAATTAAATCCTAATAACAGTATTCCTTAAAAAATAACTATATTCTGTACTTTCAAAGGTACTTAATTCTGTGCCATCAGAATGTGTTCCGTATGGTCCCCTTGTGTTCCCCTTGATCTCTGTGTCTCTGCCTTTGTGCAATGTACCAGGTTTTTGATCACAGATTTGCTTCTGATTATGTGTTGGTATTATAGATATATCTTCCAGTGCCGATATCACTATTTAGAGAAGCCCTAATAAAGCCTAACAGAACTTGCAGTCTACTGTCACTGGCTCCACATAGTTACAGAAGTCAAAACAGGAGTCATTTGAACTCCCCTTGCGCACGTACACACACACACACACACACAATCACAAAGAAACTGCGCAGACTTGTATCTAAAATAGTATCCACTTTTAATAATTACCTTTCACAGTAAATAAAATTAAAAAGTTAACAGGAAAATATGACATCATAAGAAATGATAAGCTTGTTACCCATCAGTCAGCAAAATTCCCTGAGTAACAAAGGGAAGGGATTTTTGTTAGCCTTAGAAAGTTCAGTTTTGTTGGTAATATATGACCTGGGAGCACACTTCAGAGTCTTTAGACACCTTTCTAGTCCCTCTGTAGGATAATGCTTCATTGCTGACATTCCCTGCTGCAAAGTACAAAGCTTCATTGCATGCAGCCTGCAGAAAGAGACAGTATGTAATAGATTTCACTACAGAGCAAGATTCTGTGGTTTCAGTTTAGCAGAAAAGGTATGAGAAAGTGGGAGAAATACCTGGCTTACTTGAACTCTGTGACCTTCAGCAGCATCTTCAACAAATAAGTAAACAATTCAAATGTATTACATTACTGTATGATTGGCAAAAACTACAAAAATAAGCAATGGTAGCCACTCAACAATTGTGTCAAAACCTACCTTTATGATGACAGATGTGTGATTTTCTGCACATAAATAAAGTCACAGCCACAGATATGATGTTTGATGCTGCTAAAGCCAAAATGGTTGGGTATAAACCACTGTTCACTATAAAAAGCAAGAAAGCAGATTTAAATATTATTTATCAAGTAGTTTTGTAATTTTATTGTAAGGCAGATGTTCTGACAACATCAAATGGTTCCTTATTAGGGTTTGATGTTACTTAAATATCTGCTCTTACCTACAAAGTCCAGTTTAGTTCCGTTCCCAAAGATGATCTCTCCACACATGAGCACAGCACAGTAGTAAGTTCCAGCATCAGAGAGGCTGAGGTTTCTCTTGGGGAGTTTATAGACACAGCTCTGTGTAGGAGAATCAGTCTCAGAGCTTTTCTTACACTCATCACTCCTGTTTCCATGAGTGTAAATGATTCCTGGATGAGATTCTCCTGATCCATGTCTGAACCAGTACACACTGTGTTCTCCTGCAGACGCATCTGTGAGTACTGAACACTGCAAAGTTGTATCTCCTCCCAGTTCAACAGGATCTGATACAGGAGGCTGGAGAACAGCAGAGACACTTGAAGATGAACCTAAAGAGAGAAAAAAAATATACATTTTCTCAGATATCGAGTGAGATGAAGATAAATCCCAATTTTATGGCAAAGATATAATCTTCAGTACAGAAAGAGGTGAAGGTACATAGGCTACATATAGTGCTGTAATTAACTACCACCTACCTTTGAGGACTAAAACTGTCCAGTCTGCTAATGCAGTATCTGTATAATATGCAACAGAGCAGTAATATGTAGCTGAATCAGATGGTTCTGCATTTGAGATACTCAGAGTAAAACTGCTTTTTTCTTTTAATACTTTAAAGCGACCGATCTTGTCAAAGCCATTATAATATACAGCAGGTATATAATGGTAAGCAGAAGCGATGAGTAGGGGCTTTTCTCCTGGAGTGTGTCTGAACCATGTAGTTGTTGATTCATCAGGGGATAAAAAAGAGCAATTCAGACTGATAGTTTTCCCATATTGAATGTACTTCAGTCCACTTTGAGAGATAATGTGAACTTTTGAGGTACCACCTAAAACAAAGGAAACAAAGAAAAACTTGCTGTTTGAATATCCATGAAAACTGTGTATTAGATACAGCCATGTGTGTTACAGCAGGAAACAAATTGCGATTAACAAATGAAAAAAATACCTAATGCTGTTGACAGCAAAATAAGTAAACACAATGAAATCATGGCCAAACTCATCAAGTAATGCATCTCCTGAAACACAAAAACACTTTTCCATTTCAGTTACACTTTACACACACTTCAGTAAATGATTAGTAAATAATGTATATATGCGCTTTAAAAGCGTAATGTATATGTACACTCTAAAACATGTCTGCAACACAATGTCAGTGGAACAAAAAGTATTTGCCATATTTTGTTTTGATTTTTACCTTCAAATTATCTATGAGTGCTGAAATTATTTACAAACTATGTGGTGAAACTCACCATATCATTAACAGCGCTACAGTTAAGGTTAGGATTAGGATGGGATTTAGGTTTTAGGTGGAATTTAAGGTTAACGTTGCTTTTACACTTAAGTATAGGAGACTGAGACACTTACAGCTTTTGAAGATAAAAGTAATCGATCAGGATGCAGCTCCTACCAGTTTTAACAGCAACTGTACTTAACTTCCACAAGGCAGCTTTATAGTTCTGTGCTGAGAGCGGATTGGCTCGCACAAAAGGAGGCTGAATTAGGCCCTAACCACTCACATCAGTGGGCATGAAAGCACACGTTATTATGCAAATTATTTGGCTGGGTCGGACTTTGTTTGGCCAAACGATTAAAAAATATTTGATATTCAAAAAATGATATTCAAACATAGCTTGCGGTTTGTCTTTCCGATGTGTGGAATTAATATATGAATATAAATAGCAGAATAGAACATTAAGGAACAGAATATACAAGCTGTGGTGGTCATTTTTACCTTTTACTCAAGTGCACATGATGGGAGCACGTGAATACAGCTGTGGTGAAGCAGAAACTTCTTTTTCTTTACAAAAACAAAACTCTCCAGGTGCAGCTGTATTAAGTTGTGTTAAGGGCAGGAGCAGCCGAGGCCATAGAGGTAGGATCTGGATGAACCAGGGACAAAACTCAAGATTCGTATGAGACTGTATGAATGCTTATGAACTCATAGGTCAGCTTGGTTAAGGGCTTGAAGACTGGCAAGGCAAGAGTTTCAGAGGCTCAGAGGAAGCCACTTGCTAGCATGGCTATTAGTGGAGGTAATAGTAACAGTCTAAAGGTCTTTGGTTCACTGTTATCTTGTTGAAAGGACAGACTCATCTTAGAGAAGTGTCATGCATCCTTAAAAGGACAAGAAGATCCTTTTACCCACTTCCTGAGACAGAGAGGCAGCCCACTCACAGACTCTCCCCTTTGCTCTCTGGAACAGATGTTGCCTCTATGTGCTTGAGAGTGCATCTTCTAACCACTGGGAGTCTCTTCATGTTTACTAGCAAATGGTCAGAGAGTAACCAGAAACAACAAAAGAGGCAGGCTGAGTAAGAGTGGTGACTGACACCTGGGTATCGACTTATTGATGGAGCCAAAAAAGAAAGAGAATTGGAGTTGTTGTGTCCTTTTGGTGAAACTTTTCCAGTCTGTAACTTGTACTGTGTTGTACAAGTATTTCCTTTAGTACCATATAAGACACCAACTACCATATTGGCCTGGGTCAGATAATATGTGCATGCTGAGTTCTGATGAATCTTAAAAGTTATGATTAACAAAAGTTGAAGGATAACAATTCAGTAGAAATTAGGGAGACTTTGGCGTAGGCCCAGTCCTCGGTCTAGGTCTTGGAGCGTCGGGACCCTCACTGATCCTGCCAGGTAGAGACGGCAGGGGCAGAGCCCAGACAACCAGACAGGGACCCAACTAGTGGTGGTGGGAAGGAACGAGGGGAACGTCAAAATGTAGTTACCTGAAAGCAGCAAAATAGGTACATAAGTCGTCATTTTAAAGATGTGTAGACCTGTGAGCGGTCAGGAATAATGAATGAGTGAATGACACAGCATTAGAGTCTTCCTGGCCCATCTTTTGCTCAAGCTTCCATGAGTAGAGACCACAGTGCATGACTAGGGGCCATAACTATTGCAAGTTATCACTCATGGAATAAAACCTATAGGCCTTTATAATCAGTAACAATGAATAGGCTCAGAATATAAAAAGCATCAAATGTCGTGGTAGTCAGTGGAGCATCTAACTTATGAGAATTAAGCTCTATCATTAAGTCTTCTTTCAGCTCACAAAGATCCTAGATCTGAGGATTGCTGTCCCCCTTGGTTCTTTGAGATTCACGGTGGTGCCAATGCAAGTCAGATTAAATTTAAACCTGGCATGCATTGTACAAAGCCAGGTAGTGACTGATTTGCACAAGTCTGTGTTAGGTTGACCATGACTTCTCTGACTTATGCACTATATCCCGTGCTTGAGTGTATATTTAGCAGTAACCACAGTCTCGATGGAACACACATAGTGGACTGCTGAAACTTCTAACCACATCAAAAACAAGGCTTAAATAGCAAAGATGAAACAGTTTCATACGAAGGAAAACAATAAAGAAAGGAAGGAAGCCTTCTAAGAGAGGAGTGGAAACTTTTCAAACATGCACTCCAACGTTGTCCAACGTTTAGCATAACTGACCTTTAACGGTTTCAACCGATGTGTTTCATTATATCATGTTACGGGTCATTTACAAAATGGTTGTGGCTTTGAACATTCTGCATTCTCAAAAGCAAAAAAGTATAATAGCAATGATGGAGCAATGTTAAATAAAACACATAGATACAACTGAAGATTTGCTAATACAAGTGCATCACTTCTAGTTTTAAATTTCTGCATGAGAAATGATAGATGTCTACACCCAGGAAACCAAGGGTCCTTTCCCACAGACCTTGTTTGGTGGGGACCTATGACACGTGTGAACACTTCACCCCTATGTGGATAAGAGTAAGAGTGGTGACTGACTCCTGGGCATCGACTTATTGATGGAGCCAAAAGAGAAAGAGAATTGGAGTTGTTGTGTCCTTTTGGTGAAACTTTTCCAGTCTGTAGCTTGTACTGTGTTGTACAAGTATTTCCTTTAGTACCATATAAGACACCAACTACCATATTGGCCTGGGTCAGATAATATGTGCATGCTGAGTTCTGATGAATCCAAACTGATCTTATGACATGCACATTAGATGTGATGTTTGTTTGAAGAATATACACTTTAAATTTAACAAAATAATCAACATAAGCACTGCACATACTACCAAGCTGTTTTCTCAAGTGGCTGTGTCTACAAGAAAGGGAGTCCAATAGAGGCCTTTTAATCCCTTTGTACTAGAAAGAGTGAAGGAGGACAATTTTTTATATCCTCAATAATATTTTTTTCAAGTTGAAGGATAACAATTCAGTAGAAATTAAGGAGACTTTGGTGTAGGTCAGTCCTCGGCCCAGGTCTTGGAGTGTCGGGACCCTCACTGATCCTGCCAGGTAGAGACGGCAGGGGCAGAGCCTACCCCCCAGACAACCAGACAGGGACCCAACTGGTGGTGGTGGGAAGGAACGAGGGGAACGTCAAAATGTAGTCACCTGAAAGCAGCAAAATAGTCATTTTAAAGCGAATAAACCGTGTCTGGCAAAAAATGCAGGTCTCTGTTCGCTTTCAAATGAACCCCAGGTCAGTTTACTGCTGGTGGGAACACAAAGTTATGATGGTCTGCACCAAAGACAATAGTGCAGCATTGCCCGCAAAATCTGCCTGTTTTAACATTTGACTCATCACAGATGCTCATATTGTTCTTGCAGTACAAGCAAAGTGAAGCAAAGTCTGTAATCTGGGCACATGGATTGCAGAATGTATTGCATCAGTGATCTGATACATTTAAAGTGACAAACCAAGTGCAGAGATCTGAGACCACCAAACACCACCCCTAAGACGCACCTGGTAAACATATTTAAGTAAGAGTAATGGGTGTAATGATTTGATTAGTGTGGTAGTTTTTAGAGGTTTAGATGCTCATAAACTCAATTGTGCCAGTGCCTTAACTCAGTGCAAAGCTTCTGTATACACAAGTGACGTTTTTCACCATTTTTTCTTTTTAGTTTCCTTTAATCTTAGTTCAAACGAATAATCAGTGGTGAAAATCATCAGTATGGGACAGAGGCTTTTTTTGATCCCAATAAGTGAGTAATAAGTAAGCAAATTTGACACAGTCAGTTAAGAAACTGAAACTGAAAAGACATTGGCTTCTACAACAAGACAATGACCTCAAAATCCAAAAAAAAACTACTTTAAGAAACAAAAGCTGAAGTTTTTGGAATGGCCCACGGAGTTAACTTACTTCAATGTAGTGGCAGTCATGGGCTGGAGGTTAGGGAAACCGGACCTGTGAGGGGAAGGTCGCCGGTTTGATCCCCAGAGCCGACAGTACATGACTGAGGTGCTCTTGAGCAAGGCACCTAACCCCCAACTGCTCCCCGGGTGCTGCGGATAGGGTTGCCTGCTGCTCTGAGCAAGTGTGCTCACTGCCCCCCAGTGTGTGTGCTCGCTAGTGTGTATGTGGTGTTTCACTTCACGGATGGGTTAAAAGCAGAGGTTGAATTTCCCCTTTGTGGGACTAATAAGGGTCATTTAATCTTAATCTATCACTGGAAATCTGTAAGTACATCTTAAACAGGCTGTGTATGCAAGATAGCCTAAGAAAATAGTGCAGAATGCTGTGCAAAGAAGAGTGAGCCAAAGGATAGAAAGACGCCTAGCTGGCCTCAAAAAGCACTTGCCAATGGGAGTGTTACTGACTTAGTAGGTTGTCTAAAATTTGCACATGGCACAATTACCATTTTATATACATAGATCGTTCTACTGAACTGATTCAAAGTCAGTGCTGGAAGCACATTTTGGATTTTTCACTGACTTGGACTTTAGGTGAACAACAGGGATTCTGCTTGTCCATAGCTGATGTTAGTGGACCCTATCTAGAGTAAACTCACACAATGGAGAGTATACCAGGCTGTGTGCTAAAATCCCTTTCAGTGACTTTATACCTTAATTGTGTTTATTTTATTAAAAATGACTGAACATTCCATTTCTGAAGCTTTACCATGTTTCGGTAGTGACAGTGTTAGCTAATTTTGATCATAATCCAAAAAAGCTAGCCAGTACATGACTAGTAAACACAGCTTTGACCAGTTGTACATGCATAAAATCATAAGTTCATCAAATATCAAGTAATTGTGCATTCAAATTTGTGGGGAACATATTTTTTTTAAAACAGTTTGCCGCACAAAACTCAACAAAATACGTAATTTGGCCAGGGATGCCCAAATTTTTATATTTTATATTCATAATTCATTTATTTTTAGACTATTTTTATTTATTTTAGTTGCTTCAGTACCCCTACACAACTGCCATTAAAACTCTGAGTTCATCTGGACCTCAATGCTTGACAGATAGAAGCAAAATAATGAGATAGCACTTGTGTGCTTTGTAAGGAGGAAAAAAGACTCTGTTTACTAAGGATTCTAGTATCACAAAATAGATCTCTATCAGGGACCAGTCTTTTTCAAAATGCTTTGCAAGAAATGTGGTTTGTAAAAATAGAATGTGATCTAAAAAGGCAACTGAAACACTTCACTACTGTGATCTCTAGCTGTAAAAACAACATCCTGTGAACGATGTGTTTTTTTCTGTGAGCTATGACACCCATTAAGTGCATGTGCAGCAATGACCACAGGCTAAACAACACAGACACAGTGAGGTTCTGGCTAGACTGAAAATTCTAATAGCTACAAAGACGATCCTTGCAGATTCAAGGGGCGGCACTTTTTCCCAGTGTTTTAGCACAATTCCAACATCATAAATATAACAAAAAAGCAGTAGCATGTAGCACTACATGAGAATTATCCTAGTTCTGAACATTATGAGGTTAACAACAGGGTTTCTGCTTGTCCACAGCAGATGTTAGGAGGACTCTATCCAGAGTAAACCCATGCAATGGAGAGTATACCAAGCTGTCTGTTCAAGAAATGAGTAGATATTTTCATTGACATCTTGAACATCTTCCTGAGCCAGGCTATCATGCCTAAATGCTTTACTTATTCACTATTGCCCCTGGCACTCAATTAGCCTTAGTACTTTGAAAGGGTCACTTAAAAACCACATGAATCACCATCCCAACAGACACTTATGTATGAAGGCTGTTTATTGACTTTAACAATAATTCCATTCCACATAAGTTGCAAAGAGTCTGCTGGGATTAGTGTGCTTAGCCCACTGCTGTTCACCCTGGTGACACATAACTGTACTTCCAAGCACAGCTACAAATAAGCACAGCACAGCATGCTGAGTGGAGGTGGAGCAGCTAGATTGTTGCAAGGGCAACCATCTATCACCTAACACCCGGCCCTAGATTAGAAGAAACTGACGCAGAGTTTGCATTATCATAGAAAGGATGCCCTGCATTAAGGTATGCGAGGTGCAGACTGCAGTGCACCCTGGCTTTAAAACACACAGCCAATGACTGTAGTCTGTTTATTCACATCTTGAAGAATACCAAAGAAAATGTATAGCCAGCAGTTCTGGGTTTACTGAATTGTCCAATAATCAATTAAAAATGTTGCTTGCTTTGGTATTTCAATCTGAACAGAATAACCAGTCTATGTTTTCAGTTTTAGGAGACTTCAATAGAGCTAACCTTACTCACAGACAGGCCAAACACTGACAACATGTTACTTACCACATTAGGTAAAATAACACATGCAGTGCTGCCTTGCTTTAAAGAATGCATATTGCTGTTTGGCTGGGCACATACTTCTGCAGGTGTGAAAAGCATAGCACCACAAACCTCTCCAGCTCTATTTCACACCCCTTTCAAACCACAGCACATCAGCACCTCTCCCACCAAGCCCTGCACTGTGAAGAGAATGTGCGCTGACACTTCCTGAGATAGAAGGTTAGGAAGGTGCTAGGCCCAGATGGTGTCGCGCGCTCCTGTCTGAAGGTTTGCTCTGACCAACTTGCACCAGTCTTCATGCAGATTATTCGAGTTATGTGAGCTACATTCCTGCTTCAAATGCTCAACAACACTGCTCATCCCCAAAAACAGCCACCAACACAGGGTTGAACGACTCTAGGCCCATTGCCCTCACCTTGGTCATCGTGAAATCCTTTGAGAGACTGGTAGCAGCATACTTAAAGGACACGACAAACCCCCCCTTGGACCTTCTGCCGTTTGCATATTGGGCAAACATATCCATGGTGAACAGGGACATCACTTTATCCTTCACCACCTTGACCAGCCAGGGCCTATGCAAGCCTGTTTTTACACTCCAGCTCAGCATTTAACATTATTCTTCTGGAATTGTTCCACAATAGAGTCTCCCAACCTGACAGTGGACCATTTATGAATAATTATAACACATAAGCATGAGTTATGTGAGACGCTGTTTTATAATTAACGCTTCTTATTTGATCTTATTTAGTATGGCTTCCTCTTGTCTGGCTGCTAAACAATGCACTTTAAATACCCATGAATCTGTGTATGTGTGAATGTCTACAGGTATGGATGTTTATGCTAATGTACCATTGAGGTAAAACTGAGTTATGTTTTTCCGTGTTACTGTAAACATGCAGTAGATGTTACATATCTGTGTTGTAGATCTTGGGTATGGATGTCTGTTGCCAAATTAGTGTGGTAAACCTTGGATATGGACATCTATGTTACTGCATAAGTGTGGAACTAGTTTCTAGTTTATAGATAGATTTATTTTGATATTTGCATCTATTGGAAACGCCCACTACAAGTTTCAGCTCATTACTTCAAACTAACCTAGAATAAAACGAAAGATAGCAAATAATTTCCAGTTGTGTTAGTTTGAGTTGTTCTCGTTTGACGTTTTTAAATGTTCATGTGAACTGACAAGTAAGTTAAAGCAGCCTTAACCTCAATTTTAACACTTTTTCTCTGGTGTGAAGCAATGCTGACCACAAGGCAGTGCATCAGAATACCAGTGAAACACACGTCAGCAAGTGTTTCATATCAAAAATACGCACGCATAAAGACAAGACAGAACTGTGTTGTATGCAAATAATTTAAAGGCTAAACCTGTCATGCAATCAGAATAAACACAATTTATTGCTAGCCTTCACTCCTCCACTGCATGAAACATTGCAGATATAGACAAGTCACCACCAAATCTACAACATCTATTTCTAGTGAACATCAATATATAGAGAAAATGTAGCAGAGATATGTATTTTATTTGAAAAGAACTGGACAAAGTTTTGATATTTCCTTACAAATACAGGACCAATGAAAGTAGTGCGCACCTTCAAAATGTCCAATCAGGTATGACACAGGGCTGGCATTTCCACTGAATAGACCTCATTACTTCACTGCCTTATTGTCGAAGCAGCGACAATGATCACACTCATCACCATTCTCTGTCTATTTATAACAGGTAAGTGAAATTTTGAATTTGTTTATATAAAATACGAAATACTGTACAATATATTTCTACTGCAAATGAAAGTATTGCACACTTTTTTTTCAGTGAACACTGACATCTCTGAGGTTCAGGTACAAACTGTGAGGAGTGGAAGTAATGTTACTATAAAATGTGACCAGATCACAGACAAAGACCATAAAAATCTTTTAGCTTGGTATAAGCAGAGTTTAGGAAAAGTGCCAGAGTATGTTATGAGATTATTTGGGGAATGAAAGGAAACCCAGATTTACACCAGGGTTTAGCGATGGACGTTTAACTCTGGATGAAGAAGCATTTGGTCTCAATATTAATGGAATAAAGGAAGAGGATACAGGACTATATTTCTGTGGAAAAGTAAAGCAGAATGCTGTAGAGTTTGGATCTGGGACTCTTTTACTTTTTCAAGGTAAACAGCTCTCTCTAACTTTACTGTAATATCTGTAACTTTTACTTCCATTCATTTCATTCCAAGATTTTAAGTTCATTTCTGTTTATGAAGTTTTCATGTCATTGTTGTTAGTATTATTTCTGTTTTGTTTTTGTCAATTTATTTCAAAGCTGAGAAGACTGACCGACATCCTATGACTGAAATGGTGATCAAGACAGGAGAGTCTGTTACTCTCCAGTGTTCAGTACGATCTCTTACTTCAAACTGTTCAGGAGAACACAGTGTGTACTGGCTCAGACATGGATCAGGAGAATCTCATCCAGGAATCATTTACACTCATGGAAACAGGAGTGATGAGTGTAAGAAAAGCGCTGAGACTGATTCTCCTACACAGAGCTGTGTCTACAAACTCCCCAAGAGAAACCTCAGCCTCTCTGATGCTGGAACTTACTACTGTGCTATGGCTGCATGTGGACAGATACTGTTTGGAGATCTAACTAAAGTTACTTTACAAGGTGAGACTTTTGATAGAATAGAGCTTCTGTTCTGTGATGGAATTTATCTGCATGCTAATGTTTTACAATCAACTCTTGTTAAAGAATACATCATCTGACACTAAAGCAAGGTATTTGTGTTCTATAATTTCAGAAAATAACAGCTGGATTGTCATCGCCTTGTCAATATCAAATTTTATATCCATTATTGTGATCATGGTTCTGATTGGATTTCTACTTATGAGTCAACGAAAAGGTTTGTTTTGGTTTTTACGCTCACTATATAACTATTTTACTGAAATTTAAATCACTTAATGCATGCAAACATTGCTTTTTTCTGTTGTTGTTCTGTAAAGGTGCTGCAAACGCCCAGCTAAGCCACACTAATCAGGTAAACATGTCTATCATTAGTGTTTATGTTTCTTGAAATAAACACAGATCTGTCCTTGAATCTGCAGAAACTGTTTAAATATTTGCTGGTTACACATTTCTTACTGTACTTGTAACACATGTTCTCCATGTGGTCAGTAATGGATTGTAATGATTCTTGTTGAATCTCAGGTTGTGGATGCAGAAGGCTTAACCTATGCTGCCCTGAACTTTCTTAAGAAAGGTCCCTCCAGAAAGCAGAAGGAAAGTCAAGACAGAGCTGATAGGAAACGAGTACGGACAGCATCACCACAATGTAATTATCACCGCAGTGGAACATTTCTATTTCAAATACCACTCAGTCATGTTCAGCAAGCAAATCTGTACACAGGTGTTGATTGGGATGGGGGTGCAAGGTTCATGTTTCTTCCCAATGTATCATTGTTAATTAGCTTTTTAAAAGTGTGTTGTCCGGGAGTCCAAGAGAGCACAATCGACCTCGCTCTCTCTGGATGGGTAGGATGGCCCCCCCATCACTCAACGCGATGCTAGTCAGCGCAGGCGTCTGTTAGCTGCCGTAACAGATCTGGCGGTTGGCGCTTTCCTCCGAGCGTGTTCGGCTGTCCGGCGACGTTGCGTGAGCGGCAGTTCGAAAAGAAGCGGTGGCTGGTTTCACAGGTCTCGGAGGAAGCCTGTGTTAGCCTTCACCCTCCTAGCGTTGATAGTATCATGTGACTGGGGGAGTCCTAACTAGCGGGTGGAATTGGAAACGACTAAATTGGGGAGATAATTGGGTAAAAATCCAGAAAGTGTGTTGTCATTGCTTTTGGTTCAGTCTGTAACAGACAGAGCTAACTTCACTTTTAATGGAAAACATATAACACGTAATCCAGATACAAAAATTTAACAGTATTCCTTTGCAGTTACAGAAGATCACAGGGTATTTTTACATCACAGGGTAATAGTGTAAATACCACCAGGATTACGTTCAAACCCAAAGTCATCTCCATTCACCAAAATTTGCAGTCTTAATGATGTCCTTTGAATTGTGTAGATTTTAAGAGTTTTTAATTTGGGGTAGAATGTGGGAAGGAGGGCCCAGGAGAGGTTTCTGAAGAATACCCCTCACAAGCAGTGGTGCACAATCTACAGAAATTTAGCATTTTATTTTTATTGGCTGAACTAATATCTCTGATGTTTTTCTAAAGATATTTGAATCAGGCTTTTAACCGGCAGACCAGCCAACATCAAAGTACACTACAAAGTACAATAAGATGTGTCACCATGAACTACACAAAAAGCTGGTGACGCCTGTGTGTTCAGTTGTGCATGTGCAGTACTCAGATCTAACGGTAACAGGCAGCAGCGTTTAGACTTCTGAAAAACAAAAGAAGACGAAGAGTTTAACCAATCAGGTTTTATCCCTCTCAATCTTTCTACTGACTTCATCTAACCTGCTCCACAAAGGAGGACGGTGCTTTTAACTCCTCCTTTGCAAAGGTCAATTGGCTGGAGTGGCTATGGAATATGGAACTTAAGTTAAGGCAGACCTGCCAACCTTTGGAAAATGTAACCTGAGCGAAATGTTACGTAATTTGCAAGCTAGCTTGCTTGTTCACCAGGCGTTTAAGTTGGCAAAGTAACATTAGGTTATCTTGCCCATGTACCACAAATTGTTAACGTGACTTTTTCTAGTACCTTACAGTTCAGCCCTTAAAGGCCAAAGTTTTATTACGCACTTCTATAACCTAAGAATAGCTCAACTGCTTTGCATTGAAGTCCTTGTATTTACTGTATAATAAGGCTTAGTATGTAATAAGCCTGGTATTTTAAGGGGTTAAAGTAAACATGATATCAGATGAGGAGGGCACTGACAGGGACAGAGAGAACAGCAGGCCTAAAAAACCTGAAAAAGAAGCAAGTCTATGCCCCCCCAGAACTTCTTCACAAACTATCAGGAGCAGTAGATGTGCCTATGTGATGTGTGCCTATATAAGCTGATTCAATTATTTAATTATTGAAGAAAATGTAAATCCTTAATAGCAACTTCAGTTTAATTCATAATTGACAGTGTTTTACATCATGTTTTGCTTTTTTAAACAATACAACATAAGTTAAATACTTGAAAAGTAAAACATGTTGAAATACACAAAGTAAAGACTTTCCATTTTTGTTAAATAATTGAATGAGTAAAATTCATTTTTGGTTATCAGTTTGTATAAACACACATCATACAGTTAAAATGGTTTTACTCAGGTGTACTGAAACTTTTGACTTACACTGAACATTATAGCCCAGTGCAGTAGTGCAAGTGAGATTTTAGAATCAGGTCAAATTTTGACTGGTCACTTTTTGACTGGTCAGTGACCAGTCAAAATTAAAATTATGAAGGAATGCCACATGGAGGGGAGAAAACATTT